TATAATATGGATTAGATAGCGGAAACTTTATGTTTCTCAATGGCAGTTACGCCCCCTAGCGGTAGAATTACGAACTTTAAAATAATTTCCAGCTATTTCTCTTGGTCACTTTGCTTATAAGGATTTTTTTCCCAAACCTATAGGCCTTACCGTTCTAGAGATACAGCCGCTCCGTACGCTTAACGGGACACCCTGTACATATAAAGACCTATATAAAAGTTCACAAGACTTTATTAACAATCGAACATTACAAACACATTATTATTATTATTCTTTACAATTTTTTCAAAAATTAAATTCATTTATTCCCATTCCATCTTTTTATCAACCAATGACCCCACGCCAAAGTATTACATCCGTTCGGTAATATGTATCGTTTATCATCGCACGATGAAAGAGCAATTTTATTCTTTAATTCGGTATACATAGTATGAAATTCTGACTTAAAAATGTACATTTTTTTATGAACCGATCCGCCACATTCAACCACACGTTTATAATCGGTCACGCTTAAATGTTTATCTATAACATATTTCTTTACTCCTTTAGCCTTTTTTACATTATCATTCAACAAGGTGATGCAGTACGCCTTAGCTCCTGTTCCAACAAATGACGTTATGCACCTGTTTGGATATTCATCTTTCATTCTTCCCAACACAGATCGACCGCGAGGTATATTGTGTATATTCTCTAACGGATAATTGGACGTGTCAAAAAATTCAATATTTTCTTTTATATCCTCATATACATTGGGAGTAGTAATTTCTAGGATTAGGGAATCAGTATCGGTGTATAAAAGTGTTATGTTATTTCCATATTTAACTTTTAAGTAATCATAGAAGAAGCTGTACATTACGGTTTTCGAAAGCTCTAATATACTGAAACCCACATACAGCGGTTTGCAATAACGAACTTCCGCGACGTTCAATTGAACGGCTATCAAATTATCGCAAAATATTTTCGAAGATTTAAAATTTGGTTTAGCTATTAGGGCTTCCACGCCCGGTTTCTTATGACGACATTCCCAGTGGGTAACTAGTCTTATATCCACTCGCTTTTCCACATTTTCCATTGTCTTACCGTATACGATGTTATTCATTGCTTTGTAATGATTTTTTTCAAATTCATTCTTAGCTTTCGCACGTTTATCGGAATTGAAATCGATGTAGCTCCGCATCTAGTTGGATTGTTTAAATTCTAATACTCTGTAAATCTTCGTTAGTTTCAATCCGAACTTGATACACTGCTTTAGATTCACGTAATGAATGATGTATTTTGTTTTATTTTCCAAATTTGCTATTAACTTTGCATTTTTTGAACCTGGGGGTACAATCCGTTCTGGACAAAATGGCAAATCGTTGTGTTCATCATGTATTGCTTCCGGATACTCTAAATCTACCTCGAACACGTAACCCTTTTCGGAATCGTCTTCCGTATTGTAAATATCTAACTTTTGAATCTCTCCATCTGATAGCCATCGAAATCCTCCCGTCGGTAATTTTCGTCGCATTGCGTGTCCATACAAATTGGTAGCGTCGAGATACAAACAAAATATAAGATGGGTCTTTGGTTTCATCAAATTCCATCATTAATTTCTTGTTAGCCTTCGCACTGCGTATAGTGCACATACTTAATCCACCGCGAATACCATTTTTAAAGAAGTGTAACATGTCTATGTCCGTTAATAATTCTAATTTTACCCCTGTCGTTCGTAATAACGCATCCCAACCGAAGCCGTAGTACTTCATCGAAATAGTTCGGAAATTCTCAAACACGTCCGCCAAAAGTAAAACGTCAGACGTTAAATAAATGTCGCTATATTCGCCTAAAGTGCGACAGATAAATAAGTTCCACACCGTTTGTAGCTTTTTTAAGTTATTATTATTATGTTAGTTAACATTATTGATTAATTAAATTGGCTTTGACTAATGACAGGATAACACTTAAAGAAAATATACTTGCAGCTTTTTCAAAAATTATATATTTATTTAATTCAAACCTAATAACTTTTTCTGTTTCCATGTTTGCTTAATGACAATTAATTAAATTTCAAATAGAAAAGGCAACAACTAATTTTAAACTTTAACGTTATTTTAGTATGCCCGGAATTTCATGAACGAAATTGATTACGTCGGTTAATGTTAGTGATGCAAATTCATGGACAGTTTGTTAATTTAAAGCTACTGTTATGCTGATGAAGAAATGAAGAAACACTTATCGTAATAAATAATAATATTAATTGTCATGACATTTTGTTTTGTTGTCATGGACTACTCTAAATGAAAAAGATTCGATATTACTTTGAAAAATATGTATAAAAATCTAACATCTAATTTAAATCTATAGAAGACATTAAAACAGCAGACGACGTAGTTTGTTTAGAACTTTCCGTATCCACAGCTTTATATTTGAATTTCTTGCAACAATTCAACCAAAATGTTTTCGCATCTGAGTCAAAAACGATTGCAAATACAAATATAACAAAGCCTTGTAATGGGGATAAAATCGAAAAAATATAAATAAGTGCTAATTGAAGCGACGGTGTAACAATCACATGCGAAAGAACGCTAAAAATCCACGTTAATCCAAGCATAAAGAACAACATTACCGACAATTTAATTTGTAAAATTTTTTGTTTGTTATCTCTTGAAATGCTACTAGAAATTTGAAACATAACCAATGAAAAAATGATGATATTTGCGGTTAGGGTGGAAGCAATAGGGATTATTAAGAAATATCTAAATGCTGCGTCTTTTGGATAACAAAAATTAACGTTTCCAGGATTGTAATCGTCGGGAAATACTCCAGCGGAAATACCAACTATTAAAATAGGAATCGAAAAAGCAATTAAAGTGCCTAATAGGAAATTCCGAGATCTATTTCTACTGGTTAAAACGATTACGAAATTTTCATATTGCATTCTAGCTATTAACAACATTATAAGGAATTTTACCAGAACTAAATAATGCATAAAAATACCGAAAATTATGCAACCTAAACCCTCCTTAATTGTTATTACATCGTTCAAGAAAATTAAAATTATTTCTACCGCTATTACACCCGAAATTTGGATTGTATTAATTCTTCTTGAGTACCATTTTTTTAAAACAAAGCTTGTTATAAATATCATGATTAAGCCGATTAACGAAAAAGTACATAAAATTGTACTAATTATTTCTAAAGCTAATTGGTTTGAATTCGATAAACTTTCAATAATTCTATCAGAAACTCCTAACAATACAAACGCTGTTAAATGATTAGTTTTACACTCTACAAGATTATCACTTAATCTTATTGTTTCAACACCATCCATTGACCAATTTCCAACTTCATCCTCGTTAAACTCCCAAAACGAACAAACAACTTCATCGCGAGCCTCAACAGGTAAATAAAGACTAATCGAATTGTTTAAGATTTCTTTAACACCGAACACTTTTAAATCGACTATTTCACTCACAACATTACCTTCTAAAAATAGATTATTTGATTTAAAGGTCGTTAATGTGCAAGTATTTAAAAGTTCTATGGGTATTTTTACATCTATCTTGCTGAAATTAACTCTAAAGTAATCATTATTATCATTTGATTGTGTTGGGTTAGTAATTTCAACCGCAATGTTTGTTAGATTTAAAGAATACGATGTCTTTTCTTGGGATAAACCGATTACGAAGTTATCTATAGATTTAATAATCTTATCTGTCGAACCAAAATCCCGGCAAGTTTTTAATACGAAGTGATTCACGTTGAGTAAATTATTTACGACGCTAAAAAACGGTTCCGTGTATTCTATTTTTGTAGGCCGCTTCGATGTGTTTTCTAAAATATTCGCTGCTATATCAATGTCTAATTCTGTAAATTTTAATTTTTCAGTTGTGATGTGTGTTGATACCTCGTTTAATTTGTTTGGAGACAATTCGTGTTGGGTGGAATTTAATAACATCGTTAAATTTGATTGGTTGAAGTTGTTGGTTTTATTACAACGATTATAAGTTTTTGACCATGTCGGAGTATTATTAAATAATTCGCATCTTCTCATAGCGTAGGTGCCATCATCGTTTCTACATGGGTTTATACAAGGAAAAACAAATTTACTGTTTACATTAGTGCTGCACCATTTTTGAGTTTTTAATCCAGTTGAATCAGTTATATCAGAACAATACTTTATTACTTGGTCGTCAGGTGGAACAGTTTTAGGACGTTGAAGAAGTGAGTCAGTAGTTATCTCAGTTGTGTATGAAGAGTACATAGTCTAAAAGACATGAGATTGAAAAATCAATTTATTAAACACTTTAAAAACTAGCAAATTTCACTCACATTCCATCTAGGCGGTAGTTGGTCTTCATCGGAATCATTAATATGTTGATGCTTATATCCACTAGTTGTCGTCTCAGCTTCAGATGAAGTATCGTCTGTTTTCTAAAACAAATGGGGGTTAAAAGCTAATTTAACAAACATTTTGAAAATAAGTATAATTTACTCACATAACCACCACAACATTTTAAAAAGATAATTGTCACTAAAACCACATCGAACAGATATTGAAACTTCATTTTACTCCTCATCTTAAATCAACGACTACACATTTAAAACGATGTGTTGTTGATGCGTGTATAAGGTAAAAATGCGGATTTGTTATAGATAGCAAAACGCTATCGTATATTATCATTTTTGAAAACAAGGTTTCCGTAAATATTTATTTATTTGTTAACGTTAAAAGTTAGCCAAAATAGTGAATAATAAATAGTGATATTTCATGAACACTTATAAATAAAACTGAAAATGGCGTATTGATTTGACTCTTTGTCGCGATCATCTTTGTTGTTCCTGTTGGTTTGAACTTGTTTACTTAAGAGTTTTATTGTATATAATAACATGTTTACAATTTTTTTACATGATTGAAATATTATTTCACCCTTTACCCTCCTCCTCCATTTCCACACCCTCGGCTCCTCGGCACAATCAACTCCTCATCCATCTCTTGCCCTCACCTCCCTCTCCCAAAATCAGCTTCCTGTCTAAACCCCCCAGTATCCACACAAAACCCCTATTCTTCCGCGCCACCACCATCCCTTTGTCTCCTCACCCACACAACCCTTCTCATCCATCGCTTCCCCTCTCCCCCCTCTCCCAAGATCTGCCCTCGGTCCATTTAGATGGTAAATGTCAAGGACAGTAGAATCTAACAGGACTGCTACATCCATTGACAACCTGCCCGCAAACTACGTCACACCATTTTCCACGCCCAGCTGTTATTATTTTCTATGCGTTTGCTGTTTATTTTTAGGGGTTATATTCTAGATGTATTCATATTATTTTTGCAGTTTTATGTTTTTAGACGTATTAATGTCTACCATATAACCCCTAAAAACACAGACAGTTACCAGGCGTGGAAAATAGTGTAAAGTAGATTGCGGACAACCAACCCGTAGTGGACTACCAAAATACAATGGATGTAGCAGTCCTGTTAGATTCTACTGTCCTTGGGTAAATGTGATATTGGAGCACGTTAGAGCTAAAAAACAAAATGTGCCCAAAATGTGATTTGATGACGTTATACGACGTTTTGATCCACGTTTGACATTTCTATCACTTTTGGTTCCGATACACTGTCCACCTACATATGATACATTCAGATGGTAAATGTGATATTGGAGTAGGTTAGAGCTAAAAAACAAAATGTGCCCAAAATGTGATTTGATGACGTTATACGACGTTTTGAGCCATGTTTGACATTTCTATCACTTTTGGTTCCGATAACTCTGTCCACCTACATATGATACATTCAGATGGTAAATGTGATATTGGAGTACGCTAAAGCTAAAAAACAAAATGTGCCAAAAATGTGATTTGGTGACGTTATACGACGTTTTTAGCCATGTTTGCAGTTTGTATCACTTTTGGTTCCGATAACTCTGTCGACCTACATATGATACATTCAAATGGTAAATGTCATATTGGAGCACGTTAGAGCTAAAAAACAAAATGTGCACAAAATGTGATTTGGTGAGGTTATACGACGTTTTGAGCCACGTTTGACAGCTCTATCACTTTTGGTTCCGATAACTCTGTCCACCTACATATGATACATTCAGATGATAAATGTCATATTCGAGCACGTTAGAGCTAAAAAAGAAAATGTGTTAAAAATGTGATTTTGTGACGTTATACGACGTTTTGAGCCATGTTTGAAGTTTGTATCACTTTTGGTTCCGATAACTCTGTCGACCTACATATGATACATTCAGATGGTGTTCGAAGTGAGTTCGAACCAGTTTCTGAAGAAGGTTGCAACATGGCATCCGAAACGTCAAACCTTTTATTAAAAGACGCACGGCAAAACCCGAAAGTTTCTAGTGTTAGTTCTAGTTTTAGTTCTAATTTTAGTTTAATTTGCAATCTTTGTCAGAAATGTTTTTGACATTTAAATGTCAGTGTTTTCTTACTATTATTATTGTTTTTCAAATTAATTTTTAAATAAAGTTTTATCGCATTTACGCTCGTTCACTAGACGTTTCAAAATTTGAAATAAAACAATAATAATAGTAAGAAAACCACTGATATTTAAACGTCAAAAATATTTACGACAAAGATTGCAAAGCCTACTAAGATTTTTTCATTAAAAGTTATTCCAACTTTCGATTAACAACCCTACAGCTTAACAGTTAGTGTTTGCTTAATTATTTTTTTTCTCAGAAATTATTAAGTTTTAGAAGAACATCAGAGAGACAAAAAAGTTTTAGAATAGTTTTATCAATCTAAATGAAATTTTTGCAATGTATTTATCATTTTCATTAAAGAAATCTAGGCATATATTGAACGGGGGTGGTTACGTTTAGTAGTTTAGAAGGGTAGGTTGAAAGTACAAATAAGGTCAAAACGTGCCCTATTATGAGTTAAACATATTCCCCAAATTTTATTTTCCTAGCATTTATGGTTTTTGGGAAAAAAAAATAAATCAAAATTTTCCGCCATTTTTGGAGGTGTGTAGCTCCTTAGGGGAGCCGAAGTCGCCCATGGTTCATATATCAAAGTACCCTTAAAATTCACTAAAGAATCACCCCTTGAAGTTTGTTGCAGTCATTCAGATACACCCTGTATGTATATATAAATACGCGGGTGATATAGAAAAAGTTCGCATATTGTCTACAGTAGTACAGTAAGAATAATCTAACATGTGGCCAAAACAAAGTAAATACATCATTCTGGATATACAAGGTTTTATGATCAACGAAAATCAATTCGTACCTAAAGAGCTAGCATCATACGATAGTGAGAATCGCATTACTCACCATGTATTCCAACCAATTCATAATTTCTCGACATTATCAACAAAATATAAGAATACGGCAAACTGGTTAATGGTTCATCATCATTGAATATCGACTGGGATGTAGGATTCGTACCAGTTTCCCACTTTGATTACATCATTACATATTTATGTCGCAATATTAGGAAAGTTTATGTGAAGGGATATGACAAAATGAAGTTTCTAAGAAATATAATTTCAATTCCAATTATTGACATAGAAGAAAAAGAAGGAAATCTTTCGATGGGTCTTGCAATGTGTGCATTTCATGAACGAAAAATTTGTATGTGCGCCCTTTCTACCTTGAATTATCTCCATTCAATAGTTGAAAGTAGACTGAGAAAATCGGAAGAAGAGAGACAACAGGAGATGAAATGCTATAAAGATGAAACCCCTTTTGAAGCAACGATAGTTCACGTAGAGCCAGTATGAAACGATTGTTAGAAATGTTCAGTTGTTGGCCATTAACATCCCCAAAGAAAGTGTAGAGTATAATGAAAAAATACGAAAAAGATGCATCGTTTGAAGATATTCCATCTCGTGATTTGATATATTTACCAATATTGTACTGTGTTGATAAAGTAAATCCTTCCGAATTAAGAAGAGTTTCGTGCGAACTACCATATTCGTACGAAAACACCGAGATGCTGCAGATGAAGTTACCATGCATGGAACATTACAACAACGAGAATTCTGAAATACACTTTGATGGACCTCCACCTTCAAAAATAAATTGTATAAAATGTAATTTACAAAAGAAATAAATGTTTATTTTTAAATTAAAGTCGTTAATTATTGTATAGTAATGAGGTAGTTTTTCGTACGCTCCGTATTATGAATGAATTGGTGGGCAACTCAGCTCAGTTCGGTGACGTAACATATGAATGGGTGAGTAGTAACAGAACTCCGTAACGTAACGGGTCGACTAATGGTGGATTTAGGATGTCAAACTTAAATGGCTAACAGCTTATTTATTCTCTAACCTAATCTTACTACAAACTATCGCGCCCTGTAATGTCTCTATTTGACATCCAATTGCAAGCAACTGCACTAGTTGTCACATCACCCCTTTTCTTCACTATCACTCTGTATATTCGTATCAGAAGCTGCGGGATTAGATACATAATTTTTTCTAAATTCATTTTGATTATCAGTGTCATTATGTGTATTCGAACTAACTTCTTTAAGTTCTGGTATTTTGTCTTGTTCTGGTATTTCGTCTTGATCTGGTATTTCGAATTTAATAGGATTAGGTGAATTTTTAATGAAAGATGCGTTACGCCGGTAGTTATTACCAAATTTATCTTTGACAATACAAGACCTTGGAAACTCTGTACATTTTTGTATTTCACCTGGGACCCACATTCTTTCTTTGTTAATCATCACACTCGATCCCCTTCCTTAAATGTTTGTCTTTGTTTTGCATTTAACAGATTATAATTGATTTTTTGTTTAATAAATTTTTACTAACTGCAAGTATTGTTCTAAGTATTCTATTATTGATTAACTCCGATGGAGTAACATTCAACCCTGTAAGAGGAGTATTTCTATAGTTCAATAATGCCAAATTAACATCCGTATTGGTTTCATCACATTTACTAAGCAATGATTTACAAATGCCTACCGCTTTCTCTGCCAAACCATTAGACCATTATCTAGGACTTGATGTAACTAAGTCGAACTCCCATAATTTTGCAAAAGACCTAAACTCTCTACTATTACAAGGCATATTATCAGATATAAACGTGGTGTTGCCGTTTTGTATTTTAAAGGAATCAATTCTATCCAATTACTAAAATAATCCACCACCACAAGATAATCTCGAGTAGCATATGTCAAAATATCAGCAGCCACTTTAATAAATGGTAACTCTGGTCTTGTGTGTTGTATGAGCGGTTCTTTTTGTATACTTTTGCTAAACTTTAAGCACGTCACACATCTTGCAACATAGTTTTGCACGTCAACAGATAGATCTGGCCAATACAAAATTTTCCTAGCTCTTGCCTTTGTTTTTTCAATTCCGAAATGTCCTGTGTGCAATTTTTCTAAAATTATTTTCTTTTGACTTTCTGGTACTACAATTTTATCTTCAAAAAATAAAATATTATTTTTAATAACTAATTTGTCTTTCAATTTGTGAAAATGCCTAACTAGTATATTTGGAATTTTATTTTTGTATTCTGGCCAACCATCATTACAATACTGTATAACACTACTTAAAGTACAGTCTTTATTTGTCACGACCCGTAACAGGTAAGTCAATATCAACACAATGAACTATTTCTGACATTTCAGGATCTTCTTCAGTTTTAGTTTTAATAAATGAACGTGATAACAGATCAGCTATAAACATGAATTTACCTGGTAAGTATTCTACTTTAAAATTATATTTCAATATTTTTAACTTCATTCTTTGTACTCTACTAGTTACTTTCGAAATTTCTTTTTCGCATATTGTTACTAGCGGTTTGTGATCTGACTTTATGGTTATTTTTCGGCCATATACATAATGATGGAACTTATTTAAACAAAAGCATATAGTCAACATTTCTTTTTCAATTTGTGAATATTGCTTTTCTGTGTCTGTCATACTACGTGAGCAAAATGCTACTGGCTGTCCTTGTTGAAGCAAACATCCTCCAACACCATTTTGGCTTGCGTCACATTGTATTTCAATAAGTAATTTGTTATCAAAGATTTTTAAATTTTTAATTTTTGTTATTAAATCTTCTATTTTTGAAAAAATTTCTGAATGATCATTTGTCCCCTTGAAATTTATATTATTTTTTATTAGTTCTCTTAAAGAAGAAACTAATTCTGATAATTAATTTCGACAATTAGATTTTCTTAATTTTGTTAATCCATTGCATCAATAACAATAACACATATCAATTATAATAATATAATTTCAAAAATTTGTAAACTGTAATTTTGTAAATTGAAAACGAACCGTTCAGACCAAATTAAGAATTAGTAAAGTTAACTAATCTAATTAAGTAAAATTTAACAATTATTCGTTTATCTCCGATTGTCTAATATACAGGATGGTTCAGTTTTTAATCGGAAAACTTTCTAGGATGTAGTACTTGCCCAAATAATACAAGTTTTTATATAAACATAGGGTCGCAACTCATCAATCAAAGTTGAGCCAAAAATTTATATTTTGTTTTGTATTTCGGCTGAAAGTAAAGCGTAGAATTTGAAACTTTGTACGTATTTACTACTGGTTAAGATCTTATTTTCAAGCATACCTTACACTTCACTAGTGTCCTCTAAGGGGGTGAAATTCACCACCCCCTTGAATAATTAGTAATTATTAAACATTCAACCAGTATTTTTATATATAGTGGATTCCAGGTACGTCGTATAAATCATAGAATAAAAGTTCATAAGTTGAATCGATGTATAAATGTCTTTATTAAATCAGTGCTACATATGTTTCGAATCTAATGATTCTTCTTCTTTGGCACGACTAAAATTTAAGAAAAAACAACAGGAAAAGACATATAAGTATTACATAAAGAATTGGAGTTAAAATTATAAAATATATAATAAAGGTAGTTTACCGTCAAAAATTAGGTTGTCTGATTGAACATTGAAACCCGTCTGTAAAACATTTAATTCTTAATAGAATCATAACGCGACAATCTTACGAATAAAGCAGGTATCACATCGAAGGTTAAAACACGATAGAATAAGAAAAGTGGCGTGCTATTGAGCATGTGCGGGGGTTACAGGTTTTTAAATTGATATCATTCATCGGGAAATGTGTGATAAGGCAGTTATTTTTATTTTTACAGGAAATTCAAAAAATGTCTATTGTTATTGGTATCAACGAAATCGTTCATTAGTATGTTCTTTTTGTTATTAATGTTAATGTGTAACTCTTCATAAAGGTCCATCTCTCTCGATTTTTTAAGGTTCTTCAGCAGTTTTATGTTTTCTGCAGGAATGTTATGTGACGTTTCTTTTTTATGTTTAAAGACAGCTGAGTTTTCTTTAGAGGAGTGTTCTTTGAAACGGGTTAAGATGTTCCCACCGGTTTGCCCTATGTATATTTTTGGGCAGTCTGAACAGTTGATTTGATATATACCGCTGAGTTCTTCATGTTTAGGTTTTTGTTTGTTATTCATGAGCAGTTTACTAATCTTAAAACCAGAGGAGAAAGCTGTAGTAATGTTAAATTTTAGTAGGTTTCTTTTTAGTTTTTGCTCGAGTTTTTGCTCGAGCTACTTGAGCGAAAACTAAAAGAAACCTACTAAAATTTAACATTACTACAGCTTTCTCCTCTGGTTTTAAGATTAGTAAACCAGTAGTACATACATACAAAATTTCAAATTCTACGGTATAAGCAACCCAAAATAAATGATAAAATGTAAATTTTTGGCTCAACTTTTACAGCTCATAGCTCGAAAACAAAATAGTTGCATATAACCATAAACTGCAATTTTTACCATAGGGGAAAGAAGACGAATATTGACCGCCGTCAAATATCGATCACTAAATTTTAAAGACAACAACGAGATTTACCTCGTGGATTTACCGAAACACAGGAGTACGTCCCAGCCAGTGTTGGAGCAGTTAACTTTGTCGAATGTGTTAGTTGACCAATCCAAGCGTGTAAATGTCAGTTTATTTTACATGGTTTTCTTATTAAATTTGGTGTACTTATCTTAAGGTTTCAAAATTCGAAATTCAAAGTTCGAATTGTCGAATTAATTTCGACAATTAGATTTTCTTAATTTCGTTAATCCATTGCATCAATAAGAATAGCACATATCAATTACAATAATATAATTTCAAAAATTTGTAAACTGTAATTTTGTAAATTGAAAACGAATCGTTTAGACCAAATTAAGAATTAGTAAATAATTATTAATTAGTAATTTAATTAGTAATTAAATTAATAAGTATATCTTTCTAGCGTGAATTTTTTTGTAGTCAGTGTATTTACGTAATAGTAACTTTAATTTTACAATGGAATACTACTTCCTAACTTAATTCTGTGCTCATGAACAAAATGTGTTTGAACCACCGCGCCGGTAGGTTAATATCGACCAGGGTGGTCGAAAAATGATACAAATAATCTCAGTAACATTTACTCATATTTGTTTACTAAAGATAATTCCAACCAACACCATAGTGACACGGATCAACACAATAACAGTATTGACAACTTTAATTATTCTACTGACATGGTATTTTGATTGAAATTTTATAAAGTTTTTCTGTTTATTTATAAGTTAATTTGAATCTAAATTTAATCCTTAAATTTCATTAACTTTTGTCTGTATATTTTTGGTTTCTATTGCAAAATTGTTCAATTTACATTGTTACTTAATTTTAAAATTCCCGCTGGTTATCTTCTAATTGTTGGAGTTTGCGCTGTGGTTGACATGTAGCATACGCCGTATTTTAAAAAACGAGTTAGTTATTGTAACAACATATTTTAACGTGTAATGTCCATCTTGTTTTCCCGAGGGTTGTGTGTTAAATTTTAAATTGTTAACGTAATTTTTCTTAATTCAATTTTATTATGTGACAAGTTTAGTAATTTTCAATATTTTAAAAATTTTTTTAACAAGTTAATTATGAAGTCAAACGTTGCTTATTCCCCAGCCTCATTAAACAAGTAAGTTGGTTTTTTGCTGGTTAATTTTTCATGAATGATTATCAAACTTTTAATTGTTGGTGTTTTCTCTTGTAAAAACCTTTTAGCATTGAATAGCTCTGAGGAAGATTGAATAAACAATCGAAATATTAGCACTTTTAGAAAGTTGTTCATTAATCATCATTTTGACCGTTAAACCCGACAAATTCATCGTTTTTGTTGTAATCTGCATTTAACTCAACAAATTGTAGCGAGAGCTATCCTTCACAACATTGCCTCACATAAAGATGAAGTACCTAACCAAGATGAAGATTACGATGTTGAAACTATTGAAATAAACGAAAATGTAGAAAATAATTCTCGTAGACCATTTCTTGAATATTTTAAATATTTATAGTTTACTATTTTATCATCTATTTTGTAATAAAGTACTTTAATTACTATTTTTTCAATTCTTAATTATAAAAAACAAATTTTCAAAAATTTTTCTTCCTGTTCTCTGAATCATAGGTTAGGGTTAGAAAAATGTAAGCACTTTTTAAAATTTAAGTTTAAATGTTATCTGTCCTTGTCGTACGCACGCATTGATCATATACGTTTGTTTCACTAGGGAGACGGTCTGTTGTTTTAAAAGCGTTTGGTTCTCGAAAGTAAGCACCTGGAAGAATAAATAGCGTGAATATACCCTACTTGAATTAATCTTACCAGTAAATATAACCGACAAGTACTTAATAGTTTACTGGCAAATGAATATACCGGGCCTAAGACATCTTTTCATAAACCTACAAGAGTTTATCTTCATCACTGCATCATCGACCACTGCTTAAATGGTCGATATTTGCCTCCTTTCCCCTATATCTTGGCTAGTTACGTTGGATTATGAATGGTCTTAGAAAAGAAACAAAGAACTTAACGTTTATTTAAAACATTATTATTAACAATTCGATTAGTATTTGCAATATAGACACATCCATTAGGTAAATTTCGAATCCATGATTTAAATGTATTTACAATTATTTTTTCCAAAAGATATTTAAGCTAATTCTTCGGTTTTTCTGAGTAGATTTTGAAATGGATACTCCGGATGTTTTTCTACGCCGGCAAAAAATTTAAAATCAAATATCCTCCCATCTTCACCTTTATCTAAATTGTTTAAATCCTCCATATCTCCATCATCCAACGTAAAGTTAAGTACATTAAAGTTTTCTTTCAGTCTTTCTGAATTGGTACTTTTAGGAATAACAGATACATCTTTTTGGAGAAGATGTCTTAGTAAAATTTGACCATTTGTTTTACGATGTTTTTCAGCAATACGACCTACTACAGGCTGACCTAAAATATCTGGATAGTTTGCAAGACTAAAATATTTTATATAAAAGAAATATTAGAAAAACATTCGCTTTTTCGTAATTGATACTAAAACATGACTTGTGTGTAAGAAAAAAGAACACATTTACATTAATTAGAATTTGGCGGTAAACCTGGACGTTTTAAAATAATTACATACTATCCAGCAAAAGTAATGAAATCTCTTCAAAATGTATCCAATATAGTGATTGGTTAAAATATCCTAAATTACTAACATACTGAATTTGAAATTTGTAAATTTTGTTTAATTAATTTTGTAGCTGAGGAGACAAGATATTTTTTTTTCTAGTCCGCCTGGATTTATGGTTTTTCGGCAACTCATACCACTTATATACATTTTTTAATCTAATTTAATTTTGAAACAAAATAATGTTCGAGTACTGCGGAGTACAGGGTGTCCAAATTTCGATGGGTTTGCAGGGTATCTTAGTTATTATGATAGATTAGAAAGTTGCGTCTTTCGCGAACCTGACCTACTTTTTTGTGAAATTTACAATGGCGCAAACCAAATTTTCGTAGCCCTCTTCGTTTTTGATATACAGGGAGTGTTTGAAATTTATGATTTTCAGACGCCTCCTGTATCTCGGTTATCCGGAAACTTAGTAAAAAAGTAAAATCGGGTTCTAATAGATTTTTTCACGTGGAATCCAATGGTGCACGTAGAATTTTTCTAGTCATCACGGTTTTTGAGTTATAAACACAACTCAAATACTAAATACTCTAATTCTAAAATACTTAACTCTTTATAACTCAAAAACCGTGATGACTAGAAAAATTCTACGTGCACCATTGGATTCTACGTGGAAAAATCTATTAGAACCCGTTTTTACGTTTCCGGATAGCTGAGATACAGGAGGTATCTGAAAATCATAAATTTTGAAACACTTCCTGTATATCAAAAACGAAGAGGGCTATGAAAATTTGGTTTGCGCCATTGTAAGTTTCATAAAAAAGTAACTCAGGTTCGCGAAAGCCGCAACTTTCCATCTTTCATAATAACTGAGATACCCTGCAAACCCATCGAAATTTGGACACCCTGTACACAACAAGAAGTAAAAAACAGCAAAAAAAAACTAGAAAATTACTTTTCACATTTCCGTGGATATAATTTTTTCACTTTTCATTATTTTGTGTTCAAATGCGATAAAAATAAAGGATTATTAAATCTAATTATATTATTTGTTATTAAATACTAATAATATGCAGATGTTTCGGAATTGCCCAATATCATTTGAGCTGTGTCTTTTAACAAGAAATAAAACTAAAATTCATATAAACATGTCACAAATCAATTTATTTTCGAGATATTAAGTCGAGAACATAAGTAGTGAAGTTACTACATACCTATTTCCCTACATTGTAAAAATTTATTTTATTTTAGTTTAAAAAAAGGATAACAACGTGAATTACAAAAATGGGCATAAAAAACACGTTTCATAAGACTTAAACCTTTCATTCATTAAAGAACTAGAGCCTTCGCCACTCGTTTTTAAACTTGAATTCGTGCATTTCAAGCGTGTGTTACGAAACGACGAATTATTTAACAAGCAATAGTTAGAGCAACTGTAAAATAAGTCTTCCGCTTTGTTGAATGCACATTTGTACACATGCGCATCACAAATTATATATAAACTGACCGGCAAAAAAAACCGGCCACTATAAATTAGCTACAACTTCAAAGCTGGCTTTCTCGCAAACCGCGCATTCGCTTTTGATGATTCTTTTTTTGATGGAAAGGTTGATTCTTCTGTAATAATCCTGCGATAGCAATTTTCATTCAGATTTTAATTTGAGCATATACGGGGTGAGAAAAATGAGAAAAACTTTTTTCTCGAAATTTTTAACACCCTGTGGGGTACAGCTGCTACAGCAGAGGGTATTACCTGGAATCAAACAGTAGCCCAACCTTTTCTAAGCATTTTGTTTTTTTATTCACTCTATTATCTCTGTTATTAACGAGGATGCAGTATTTTAAAGCTATCGCCTGTGAAAACAAGACGAGTGACAATAGTAGCTGATGATCGTTTTATTGTTCTTAGCAATCGTAGAACGACACCTGTAGAAGCTCGGCGTCGTCTTCAAATGGTGCATGTTGTTGATGTCAGTTAGATAACCATTCGCTGAAAAGTTGCTGAAAGGCAAGTCTCTTGCAGCAGATCTTGCTGCAAGAAGGCTGCCAAAGGACCGAGGCTGCTTCCAAGATATCGACGAGTGCGTCTTCAATCTGAGCGCTTACATGTGAATTGCGAGATCGAGCAATGGAGGAAAGTCCTTTTTATGGATGAGTACTGGTTTTGCCTACAAATGAAAGATGAAAGATGAAATGAAAGATTTGTGGGCTATACAATTATGAAACGCGAATTGTTTCCAATGTGGTTCTATGATGGTGTGGCCGGGAATTTTCAAAGAAGCCTATACAGATTTTTTATCTTGTTAAAAGTGGCGACCTTGAAAACAAAAACTGGGCCCCGAAACAGTTTTGCAGAAGCACTTACATTTTCTTAGAATTACAGAATTACGTACGTCCTTAATTATTGTAAACATCTGTTCTCAGTTCTGATATGCGGTAAAAACAAAGACAAATAAACAAGAAGACAAATTTAATTTAATGTAATAATGAATAATAACACGAAAATTAATAGCGTGTGTGCCCCCCGCGAGCCAAAATAACGTCATGTAGTTGACGCGGCATCGAACTGATTAGGTTCGTAACTGATTCCCGAAAGAATTGCGGCAAACTCTTCTTCAAGAGCAATTCGTAACTCCTGAATTGTCCAGTAGGACAGGTCGACGATGAATGCGTCTCTGAAGTTGGTCTCAAAGATGTTCGATAGGGTTAAGGTCCGGGCTACACGCTGGCCACTCCATCCTTTCAATATCCACCTCATCAAGATATTCGCTAACCATACGTGCTACGTGCGGTCGCGCATTGTCGTGCATTAGCATGAATTCGTCACCAATAAAATGGGAATGGGGCACGACAGCTTCTTGCAGAATATCTTGGATATAACGGTGGGCATTTATCCTGCCATTTTCAACAAAGATGAGCGCTGTACGCGTTTCCGTCGAAATACCTGCCCATACCATGACCGACCCTCCATGAAAAGGAACCCTTTCCGAAATTGTGCAAGTCGCAAACCTTCCATTACGACATCTCCACACTCGTTCTCGACCATCAGGTGACCGGAGACAAAATCGGGACTCATCAGTGAAGAGCACCTTACCCCATTGTTCCATTCCCCAATTCATATGTACGCGCCCAAATTGAAGACGTGCTCGCTGATGTCTCTGGAGCAGCCGCTGTCTTTTGGCAGGTCTTCTGGCAGTCAGATCACTTTCAGCAAGTCTTCGACTAATAGTTCTTTCACTTACGTCAACCCCACGCACCATTTGAAGACGATGCCGAGTTTCTACAGCTGTCGTTCTACGATTCCTTAGAGTGTTTAGAACAATAAATCGGTCATCAACTGCTGTTGTCACTCGTCTTCTACCGGAACCTTACCGCCTAGTAAAATTTCCTGTTTCCACATAGCGGTTGTTCGGGGTGTACCCAACGTATGGGCAACGTACCGCTGACTTTTGCCATCCTCAAATAAAGTAAAAATACGCGCAACTTCAGTTACTGACAACAGCATCTTTAACAACTGCAATTTACTATTCGAAACAACTGACATACGCTACCTAGCGCGCCATCTTAGATTTTTTATGCTTGTTTGTCTAGTTTTCACAGGCGTTCGCTTTAAAACACTGCATCTTCGTTAGTAAAGCGCCGCAAGAGTCGTCGCATGCGACGGATTTTAACGGCCTACACACATAGACTCTTGTGGCGTCGTACCGCACTTCTTTAACCGCTATCGACGGACCTATACCAATGCATATCTGGCCAGACAATAGCCAAGAAATTGGCTGCAGAATACCAATACTACTTGCAGAAGACTAAATACTTCCTATAGAGGACAAATACTACCTATACAATACTAGAAACTGCTTAAAAAGAAAGATATCGTCTATAGAAACCTAAGTACTGCTACCAATAGACTACAAATTGGTTGCAGAATACCAATACTACTTGTAGAAGACTAAATACAGCCAGTAAAAGGCTAAAAACTCCTTGCGGAAGACAAATACTACCTATACAATACTAGAAACTGTTTGCAGAAGATAGATATTGTTTATGAAAGGCTAGGTACTGCTATCAATAGACTACAAATTGGTTCCAGAATACTAATACTGCTTGTAGAAAATTAAATATTGCTGGCAGAAAGCTAAATACTGCCAGACAATTTTACAAGCTCATTTATGGCGGTAGTTTTCCAGTTTCTGTTGATGGAATTTTTTGATTTTGAGTCCCATAAACATAGGTACATTCTATATAGGTTTATAAATTTTTTCCAAAAATCTTTTTCGGCGAACGATGCCATTTCGATGGACGTTGGAAATAAACTAAAGCGATACTTTCGATGTCGTATGCACGTCGCAATCCCATACACGTTGACTCTTGCAAGGCGCCGGAGCTTGCCACGGTCTTGAATCCGTCGCCGTCGCCGCTGCCGATGCCGTCGCATGAGTCCTGGTGCTTCCCTACACACGATGCTTCATGCGGCTCAACTCTTGGCGTCGCTACATGCGACGCTGCAAGAGTCGTCGTGTATGGGCCGCTTAACAGAGATAATAGAGTGAATAAAAAATCAAAATGTTCAAAAAAAGATTGGGCTACCGTTTGATTCCAGTTAACACCCTCTGCTGTAGCATCTGCACCCCACAGGGTATTACAAATTTCGAGAAAAAAAGTTTTTCTCATTCTTGCACCCCGTATATGCTCAAATTACTATCCGAATAAAAATTTCTGTCGCAGGATGATTACAGAAAAATCAATTAATGTAAGATTTTCCCGAAATTTTTCGGGGAAACATTCTGCGCTTGTTATAATATTACAGACGAAACGTAAAATGAAAAGTTGCAGTTCATGTAATGTTTACCATCCACTGGCTGAGGATAGTCCGAAACGAAGTGATCATTTTCTGAAGATATGTAGTAGTGGCACGTAACATAATAGCTCCAGTATTCCTTCCTCAACGTTTGTCTGTATTCAATGGCTTCAAATATATCTCGACTAGTAATTTTCTACGATTAGAGGTATAGATCGTATCTTCGAATAGCGGCAACTCCATTTTTATATACTTCGCCATTAGTTAAAAGCATACTTGTTCGTTCTGTAAAGGTGAACAAACATGGTGTTCCCCGTAATAATAACCTGTCAAACAAATAAACAAGGATCAAGTAATAAGTTGCGCAAATGTATCTACGATTACTTGATTAACATTACCCTTTTAGAAAATTTAATCTTTCAATACGTCTTAATTATTTCATTCTAAATATTTTTTATTTATTGCAAATTAGAGAACACATACTTAAAATAGTTTAGAAAAATTCCAAAACACTTGCATAACAGATATACGTAATAATTAATACAATTTAACAGTATTAAGTTAATTCAATTAATAGTTATCTTTAGCTTATCTCTTCTTTGATTCCAGAAGTACAATCGAAATACAATAGGTTGTGCTTAAAATTTCTAGATGTTGTAAGTGGCTCGAACGCCAAGTGTCGAATCAGTTAGAATCGCTTCTAAGAAGAAAGCTATTTTCAGAAGGTTTCCGAATAGATAACTAAGTTACATTTATACCAGGCAGAGTTATTGTAGATATAGAGAAATATCAAGGTACGTAATTTCAACCACGTATTACCAAAAGAATCAAGTGTCCATCTCTAAACCGTCGAAGCGCTAATATGTTATAAGCCTAATAAAGAAAGAGGCGTCTAAACAATTACAAGTCAATTCTTTCTTCCCTAAGCAGAGAAAATGTAGCTTGTTCTGTATCTTGTTTTATATTTGCTTTTACTAATTTCACATAATAGACACAAAAATGATGTTTTAGTATCGATTTCAGAACAGTGTAGTTTTTATTTAGATTTTTTAACTTACTTGTAATTATATTTTTTGGAGAAATGCATTTGAGCTCCAGGACTTCCTAAAGGGGCATAAGCTGTCAATGAAATATTCATAAGTCGGCAGTCTTTAATCAATTGCGTCTGTTGACAATAAGCATGCATTTCAACTTGTAAAACCGACGGTTTTATTGTACTATGTTGGTAAATGTTTGCGATTTGTTCTGCGTTGAAATTTGATAACCCTATTGCCTTAACATATCCATTTCTAACTTGCTCTTCCATAGCCTAAAAAAATATAAAGTAATTATAAAATAATAACTTAAAATACTATATATTTTTTACTCAATCTATTGTAATTATACTAATTATATTGACAATGTAGTAATTATTTATATATTAAGCCAAGCTTTTTGGATCACCATTAAAACTATCAGTTTAATGAGATTTTTATCATTTTATAGGTATCGGAAATACAAAAAATGGGCGAAGAAAGGAATAAAGAAATTTGTTTATATTTTCAGTTAATTTTAACGATAGGAAATCATTCTATGTGACATCTATGTGCAGAGAACAATCGTAATATTTTTGATGAATTTTGGAAGATGGAAAGTTACAACTTGCAGGACATTTACCTATCAGAACTTACTAGAATAATAATAATACTTTATTTGTGTAAATAAGAATCTACATTCTTTTCCACTCGTCATTTGGTTACATGTCGTTCGATCTGCCACAAGTCGCTTACAAATAAACAAAAAACTAATTCGAAATATTGACGGAGAACATGAAACACAGACAAACTACTTATACTCAAAAATTTCAAACTTTACAGGTTACATTTCACTGTCTAGAAATTCCTGTACGCTGTTGAATGCGCGACCCAGGAGAATAGCAGCGACCCGTCTTATGAAAGTCCCTAGTGGGAGCTCTCTTATAAATTCTGGTAATTTGTTAAATAATTTTGAACCATAATAATTTTTTGCCGTTTTGCACTTGTTGATTCTATGAAACTTTGGTGCAATTGCGTTTTTGTTTCTAGTGTTATATTCATGCAGTGTTTTGTGTAATTTGTAATCCTTTATTTGTGTTTTCTCATATATGTCAAAGTGACCAAAATATAAATAGACGGTACGGTGAGTACTTTGCAATCAATGAATTTATTCTTTACGTTATCTTGTGTTTGAAATTTGTTAATATTCGTAATACCCTCCTCTGGAGCCCGAAGATGCTCTCCGCATGACATGAGTGACCCCAGGACATTATTCCATAACGGATGTGCGATTCAATTAGACCGTGGTAGGTACCCAAATAACCTCCTCGGAAACAATATTCTTTAAATTTTGAATTAGGTATATGTTTTTTCATATCTTTTTTCCTAATTCTATTACGTGTTGTTCCCAGCACAGATGAGAGTCAATAACAATCCACAAAAATTTGACATAATCATCTTCATCACTATTTGGATACATAGTGCGAAATGAAAGCTATTCAGTTTTGTCCTTGTTTAGTGACAGATAGTAACAGACTACATTAGAATCAAATATCCGTTAAGAATCTTCACTTGCATAGGGACTGCGGGGGTGTACTACCTACCAGTAGATTTTAATTACCCCTACCGCCCTTATTCGGTCGAAGATCCGAACCAAACTTTACACAAGTGATCTAGACTACATTAGAATCAAATATCCGTTAACAATTTTCACTTGCATAGGGACCGCGGGGGTGAACTACCCACCAGTAGATTTTAATTGCCCCTACCGCCCTTATTCGGTCGAAGATCCGAACCAAACTTTACACAAGTGATCAAGACTACATTAGAATCAAATATCAGTTAACAATTTTCACTTGCATAAGAACCACGGGAGTGAACTACCCACCAGTAGATGCGAACATGCGAACCAGATTTTGCACAAGTCATCTAGACTACTCTAGAATCAAATATCTATTAACAATTTTCAACAGTTTTGCAATGTATGTTATTTTAATATTATAAAACTACTTTGGTGGTTAGGGTGAAATTTCATCGCCTGTTCACTCAAATAATTATTGTAGCAACATTGTTTTACATTGCTGAATATATTCTTAACAGCTATTAATTTTTTATATTTTAATATACAGTGTGTTCCCGGATAGGTGAAACGACTTTTATAAAATGAAAAATTTTTTCAATATTAATTGTCATTTTTTGAGGATTAGCCCTTCTTGGTTAAAGTATTATTTTGAACGTATTTTCAAGTTTAAAAAAAGAAGTGAGTGTTGATACTGAAGCGAAAACTTCTTGTTCGTCAGGTAAAGTACCTTTTCACTTTACAGTATGCTAAAATGTTACTAAGAAATTTTATGCAGAATGAAAAGTTATGGCCATATGCAAATTTTCGGAATCATCGGCCTACTTTGATAAAACCCATTGTTTATTATTTTCGTGAATAGTATATTATAACGATTTTTTGTTTTGAGATTCAGATTGTTCAGGAGAAATAAACAAACCATTCTTAAAATGTTCACTATTATTCGCCCAAATTTAATTAAGCTCACAAAACAAAACAGTTAATCATAGCTAACAGTTAATCAGTTTCATTATAATTTTCTTTTCTTATAGTGAACACTTCCTGCTGTAAGAAATCTTTTGATTAAACGCCAACAAGTACTTCTTTTAATTACAGTAGTTTGAAATTTTTCAATAAATAAAGCAGTAACCATAATTATCGATTTTTCCCCAGTTTCATAACACTAATCACTTAAACTTTTTCCTCTAATGTTAACATTGTATTTAAGAAACACTTTAAGTTTACTAAATTACAGTTTGACAGATTAACATTGACAGGAAAGTAATTTTGTTTTTCCATGGCAGTCTTTGTTAGAAATAAAACAGTTTGATATGGATTTTTATCAAAGTTTTTCATTCAGAACAAAACTTCTTACTAACACTTTCACGTACTGTAAACAGAAAAGGTACTTTACCTGCCACAAAAAGAGTTTTTCTTTCACTGTCAACGCACACTTGTTTTTTAAAAATTGAAAATATGTTCAAAATTAGTCTTTAATCAAGCAGGGCTGATTAAAGACTAATACAACCCAACCCAACCCCAAAAACTGGCAATTAATATCGAAAAAAATTTACTTTTTATAAGAGTCGTGTAACCTCCCGGGGACACACTGTATACAATGTAAAATATTATGTATAATGTATATTAAATATTTACTACTTATATGTAAGTATAATCTACTATACTATTTAATTTATACGGGTGTCTCACGTAACTGGTTCATCAGAACTTTATTAGGTTTTGTAACAGACCTACAGCTTTGTAATTTGGCATGGAAAAGAGCGTCTCCACGAATCTGTAAGTAATCTGTAAGTTTGTAAGTTTGATCGAGTTAAGATTAAAAGAATTTGTCTATTAAGTTTGACACACGATTTCTAAAAAAAGGATAGTACAGCACCCTTGGCAAATAATTTTAAAAGTTGGCCTGTTTAGTCAAGTCTCCAAAATGGTACAGCACTTGCCATTTTTCATTTCATAAAAAATATTATTGCATGTTTTTCTGCAAAAAAAAACACGTTATTTAAAAAATTCATACTTTCGTATGCTATTTGTATTTACTCTTTATTTCGTCTTAACTTTGTTAGAAGATGTGCCACGCAATATCTACGAACTACAAAATGTGGTTTCAAAAAGCTGGTCTTTATGAAAAAAGACCAGCTTTTTATAAAAGCCCCTTATGTCTTGCAAAAGGACTGTTTTGAATAAGGTTAACCTAAAGACAAAATTAAACAAAAGGAATTATTAATTTATTTATTATTAATGTTCTTGCATTATTTTCATAACACTAAAGCAAATGCTCAAATTGTTTGCCGTCGGCACTAATACAAGCTTTGCATCATCGCAGAAAAGATCTTTTTACTAAATAGTTATGCAAATCTCTTTGTATTTATTTCTTCTGCTGCTGTATAAATATGGTGGCGCAGTTAGGCAAGATTTTCAATCGGTTTTTAATACACTGTTTCTTTTAGGCAATCCTAATAAAAAAGTCAAGGGAATTTAGGCCCAGAGAATGAGGAAGCCACGGAATCGAACCAAGACGCTCAATCCATCTTCCTGAATATTCTGTATTCAATCCCGTACAAGCATAATGAACTGGGCAACCATCTTGTTGAAACCACATTTCTCTGTAGGTATGGAATGGCACATCTTCTAACAAAGTTGTTAAATTATTTTGGAAGAAATACAAATAACATAAAAAAGTATGAATTTTATAAATAAATTTTTTCGGTCGCAGCTAGGAAATTGCAAACCTATTTTTTTGGGTTCTGTATGTTTGGATATATTTGTATATTTACGATGTAAATGAAAGAAAAAATTAATTTATTGCAAATTTATAGCTCGTATTAAGTAACGTGAAACATTTATAGTAATACTATAACCAGTAAAAACCCCCTTTGTATGTTGTAAATAGAAGTTATGTTGTGGTTCATTGTTATTATACTATGTATGTTGCACCACTAGTTAATAAAGTCAACTTTTGGCAAAAAGATGTGTTTGTTATAAACTATACTTAATTCGCTATAGTCAATTAGGTATATTTACTAAAATCAGTTTTAAACATTTGCAAGATAATCACAATCTCGGTGTTTTGCAAACCGTAACAATTTTACTATTCAAGCTGGAGTTACTCCAGGTATTCGACTTGCAGCTACAATCTATAAATTACAATAACAAAGAAAAGTAAGAACAACAAAAGTATTAATTAATAATTACCGTTTGTGGTTGAAAAGTGATTAATTTTTCTCTCTTCAAAACTTAAATTAAGAGATTCTGAATTATAATTGATGTCTCTTGGTATTAGATAAGCTTCATCTCGTTTCAATTCGGCCACTTCGTTTATTTGCATTGCAATAGCAGATTCGTAAAGTGCTTCAATTCGTAATCTGTTTTTTACTGCCATATCAAAAGTTAAAGGTTTTAATTCAGGTATAATTTGGGCTAAGTCATCGACGGTAATGTTCGCGTTCGTTGATAACATTTCAAAATCCCCATAATAAAAAGCGTTTTTTGAGCGTTTTTTTTTTTGCAGAAAAACAGACAATAATATTTTTTAGGAAAAGAAAAATGGCAAGTGTTATACCATTTTTGAATCTTAACTAAACAGGCCATCTTTTAAAATAAGTCGTCAAGGGTATTGTACTACTACCTTTTTTAGAAATCGTGTGTCAAACTTAATAGACAAAAATTCTTTCAACCTTAACTCATTCAAACTAATATTTTCTCTTGTAAAACTAACGACTTTTGTTGTTTGATTTGTGACTGCTATAGTAGCATAGTTCATAAGGCATACATTATTAAAAAAATCACTATTAAATTGCGAACATTTCTGACCGTAGTACCTAAAGATATCCCGGTACCCGCTTGACATGGAGTTTCGGGACATCTTGTATGTGGTAACAACTGAAATCAAGACACTGTACGGGGTCTCTCGTTAAGGATACGGAGCGGCTATATCTCGACAACGGTAAGGTCTAGAGGTTTGGGAAAAATGCTTATAGGCAAAGTGGGCAAGAGAAATAGCTAGAAATTATTTTGAAGTTCGACCACTAGGGAGCGTAACTGCCATAGAGAAACATAAACTTAACATTAACATAAAATTATCTCAGAAAGTTAGATGATGCGCTATTACTTTGACAACATCATTTGATAGCTTGGACAATACCGCATGGCTTTTGTTTTGCGGTATTTCGCATATTTGCCATAATAAGAGAGGGGAGGCCAATGCGTTTTCAAATGTTTACATTTTAATGTCTCCTGGACTATTCAACCGATTTGAAAATTTTTGGTATTGTTTGAAAAAGAATTTATGCTCTTTTCAAAGATATTTTCAGTAAGACCGTTTGGTTTTAAACAAATAAACAGGGAATATATTTTGTCTGCAAGGATTACATATTTTTGTGGCCTACTTTACCGTTGTCGAAATACAGCCGTTCCGTATCCTTAACGGGACACCGATATATAAAGTATATCATACGTAGCCGTGACGTTATACTATACATTGTGTCCATAAAGTAACTGATAGAGGCAATAAAATCATTATAAACGCTTTATGGAAAAGTTTCCGCCATTTTTAAACGAGTTATGACGTCATCGATATATTTTTTTAATAGCAATTCCCCATTTTTATTACAGTCCTGTTTAAAGGATTTTTTTCTGAATCTGGTACAGTAAAAAAGTACAGAAAAATTATTTTAAAGTTTCATTACTTCAAATTCGCATGAAATGATAAAAATAGCAGTACCCATGAGTAACTATGGTAACCGTTGATTTACAAATGTTCAAATTCCACCCAATACCCCTTAGAGTAACATGTGGGTTTTCTTGCCTAGCCAGAAACACGTTTCCTTAAACCTATCCTGAAACATTTGGTCGTCCAGACTTCGAGAAATCTCGTAATGCCTATGCTTTTTAAATTTCAGTCACTTTGGCTAATGAGTTGGCGATCACGATATATTGCATTAAAGAGATCAACTACTTACTAAATCAGTTTTTGACACTTAGAAAATTGTTTAATATAATTGGTTACCATAGTTACTCATGGCTGCTGCTATTTTTATCGTGTCAAGCAAATTTGAAGCAGTTAAACTTTAATGTAATTTTTCACGAAAATTTTCTTATGTAAATCTAATATTAATATTAATATTGACTGTACTACATACAGAAAAAAATGTTCTTTCATATTCTGTAACAAAATGGGGAATTGCAATTTGAAAGAATATCGATGGCTTCATAACTCGTTTAAAAATGACGGAAAGAATTTAAATCTATATCAATACATTGCAAAATTAAATCTTTAGACCCGTTTTAAGAATTTTTCCATAAACCGTTTATAATGATTTTTATCGCCTGTATCCGCTACTTTACGGACACCTATATATTAAACTGTCTTCTAGTACTGCTTATCTATGTTATCTCTAGACATAACTAGTCACTTTTTTTATCAAAAAAAAATTCTTTATTATAAAAAGTAATAAATTCGCATTTTTATTCGTAAATAAATTTGACTGGCCTCCTGTCTATTGTCTGTAATCGAGACTTATTTAATATTTTGCAAGATATGTTTGAAACGCCCTTAAAACAATAAACATAAAACATTTACACTTAAATTAGATACAAACCGCCCAAGTTGCAACATTATCGGTTTCTAAATCCAAAACAAATGTTCCATCCGGATTTTGTAACGGCGTCATTGTGCTCTCATTCATTTGGAATGCAAAGGGCATGTGAATCAAGTACAAATCAACATAGTCGAGTTTTAAACGGTTTAACGACAGTTTTAGGAACTGTTCAACGTCCTTTGATCGATTGCCAATATGAGGGAGCTAAAAACGAAATACAATCTCAGCAAATTTTAATATTTAGTATATATACATACCTATATATGTATACCGTAATTTTCATTCGTTATCAATCTAAATAAACTTACCTTGGTTGTTATAAATAAGTCTTCGCGACTTCCTTTTCCCATTTCCAACCATTTTTCGATGGCCAAACCAATCGCTTCTTCATTATTGTAATTAAAAGCAGTGTCGATATGCCGATAACCGATGTCTAATGCTTGTAGAACACTGTTTTGAACTTCTTCTGGTGGAGCTCGCCAAGTTCCCAGTCCGATCATCGGCATTCTTAGATGTCTAAGGCCGGTGATTGTTAAATAATTCATGTTTGTTTCTAGATTAGCCAGCTTTAAAGTCGTTATGTTTATATTTATATTGAATTGTTGTTGGGTTATCTCTCTTGAGCTTTTTGGGAAATAAATTTAGAATAATGCGTTGACTCTTAGATCATGTGTAGGATAGTTTTTAAATTTAAATTTAGACGGTTGGTTGTGTACTTGAACTTATTTATAGGATGACGTGACAATTACACGTGGTTTGTTTATGTTTGGTATTTTTGATTTTGATCAACTTGATTTTTTTCAGATTATATTTAGGGATTATAATTCATAAAGGAAGTAGCTACAAAACTTTAGGTATAATTAAACAATTGGACACTTTTGTCAATATTATAATTTATTACAAACATTAAGTTTTACAAATATATAAAATTTATAGTTTTATACTAAAAATGGATTTGCTAAAGTTAGATGAGGATAAGGAGTGATTCTTTTAATGATTGTAAGTTATAAACTCAGTTAATTCTCATTATACTTTGCTTATTTCTTTTACTTTTAACACATGTTTTTTAACTTACTGTGGCCGTCTATCTTCTCACTGTTATAACGCTGTTAATTTTCACCTTCTCATATATACGAAGTATATAAAGAGATAGCAATTTAATCATACAAAAATTTGACCTCAAGATTTCGATGAATATATACGCTTTGATTATCCATCAACCATTTTGACCATTTACTGAGTTATTTTTCATCTCGTTTGGTGAGAGCACAGGTTTCCAATCCATATGTTCTGTCTGCTTAGACAGATTTCGAGACCTTAACTGTGAAGAATGTGAAGATAGGCCGAAGTGGCACCTATTGGCCATGAATATTCTTTTTTATTTCTTTGGTTGTGTCATTTTGGCAGTCTATAAGTTACCCTAGATACTTAAAATCCTCCACTACTTATGTTGATTATATTCCATTGATATTCTATCATATTCTATTGATATTTCCTTGTTGAATCCTGTGCTGAAACTTCTCAAGGGCAAGGTTAAATAGGTTGCAAGACAAGCCATCTCTTTGTCTTATGTTAGTGCTCTATTAGTCTCGTATCAAATGGGCCTGACAGATCTCCCCGGTCTCCAATTACACACTCGACCATTTTCATTGTTAATTTTATTATTTCTACCAAGGAGCTTAGGACTCAAATTCCAATATTGCTGACCATAACTTTAATTTATCATTAGTGTCGTAATCTTTTTCGAAGTCCACGAAGATGTAATGGCAATCGACATCAAATTCATATGTGTTGTAAAGTATATGCCTAATAAACAAAATTTCATCAATTGTTGAATTCTTTCTTTTGAATTCCTTCTGATAAGCTCCCAGTATGATTTCCACATACGGTATCAATCGTTTGTTAAGTATTACCTACAGGGCTTTATATACTGTATTCGCTTCTTGTATCCTGGGTATATAATTCCAGTGTTCCATTTCTCTGGTATTATATGTTCCTGTCAAACTTGTGTCAACAGCGTGTGGAAGTGTATTGTACAGCATTGTACAGTACAATATTGTTTATGTCCGTAATGGGTAATATCTGTCAGTAACTCTGTTAATAAATCACTTCTTCGTACAAGCGGTTCAGGCACACACAAGACAAACAAATCTGCTTAAAATGGGCGTTTCTACAAATAAAGGTAATGTCAAAGTACAAACCATCTTTTTTTATTTTTTGTAATGAATTGCCATTTTAACGTACATCTAAAAAGTACGAGAGATACCACATCTTATTATAATATATACAGGGTGAGTCAGAAAGAATGGGAAATCCGAATACCGGAGATACTAGACACCAAAATATGATGATTTAACCTAACATCTCTTATACAAATGTCAGTGGTTTTCGAGGCACAGGGTGTTGAAAGTTAAATTTTTATTTCGAAATTTCTTGATAATTTTGAAACTTTTTGTACTACTAGCATAAAATTTGATAGTTTTATGTTTTCAAGCATAAGAAATACGAATTTGAAATTTGTTTTGTTACTCGTAGAGGGCGCTAGATACACACTACTCGTTCGATAAATCAAATCATAAGTTTTTTGGCTGTGAAGCTACGACCAATAAGAGCTACAAATCACAAAGAGCATTCAATTTTACATAAAAAAGGTACTCTTATTTAAATTGTCTAAGTCTATCGGTTTTCGAATTATTTACTAATTGTAAAATTAATGTAATGTAACATTACAGTTATTTTAATTTTATTTATTACATTACTTTTTAAATGTTGGCTTATTTTTCCGCTCATGTTTCGACAATTGCTTGTTAATTGTCAACATTGATCTAATTTCCGTGTGCAATAATTATTTTTACCAACAAGAAAGTTATTACCAATTTGAAAATGCCACGACGTAATGAGTTTTCTAATACTGAGAAATCCAGATTTAAATCCACTGGATTTTTGAATATAGTCACAATATTCTATTGTTATTAATTAATTGTTATTGTTATCGATTATTATCGTACTAATTGGTATTGTTACTGTGTGTTATTGACTTTAAATGTTAACCTTAAAATTACTTTGAAACAATTAAAAGCAGATAACTTGGAAACCAGTAGACTTAGACAATGTAAGCAAGACTACCTTTTTTGTGTAGAATTGAAAGCTCTTTCAGATTTCTGGTTCTAATTCACCATACCTCAACTGACAAAATAGTCGTGACTTGATATCTCAAACATGCAGTGTGTATCTAGCGCCCTCTACGAGTCCCACAAACAACGTTGTAACAACAACATCTTAAACAAAAAATTCGTGATGCTTGTAATACGATAAGTCGTGATACTCTTAGAAAAGTTACTTATAATGAAGTGAGAAGCCGGTTTCGGCACTGTTTGGCGGCGAATGGCGGTCGACTTGAGCACACTTTGTAGGTGCAACATATTATGTTTCTGTTGTTTTGATTTGAAATCAAAATTTATTGTTTTAAGTTTTAAAAATTTTATGATTGTCTCAACAAATTGTTCTATAGTTTTATTTCGTTTTTATTTTCTTACAATTCAGATTATTATAATGTTTTGTAAACCAACTTCCTGATCTATTATATTTTCTATTAGTAAATTTTTAATCCATGGCTACCTATGATAAAAGATATATCAGGATAACACTCGTCAATATTAATTTACATATTCTGCTATACAGTACAGTTTAAAGTTTATACAGTTTAAGATATTTAGAAAAATGTGTTAAAATTTCCTAACTTTGATGGCCTGTATCTTTGCAATTTGAAGACTTTTACTAATTTTTTTTTATATGAATCGTCATCATTTTCACTTGAGTACATGTGGTTACATTTGTTCCCCGAGTCACCGAAACAGCCTGTATATTAAAAACTACTAGATATAAAAAACTTTTTTATTCAATGTTGCTAAGAATTATATAGGCATCCTATTTTTAAACAGAAAAAAATGTGTTCGTTGAAAAAATAAATTTGTGTACGTCGCGACGCCTAGCGTCGTCGTCCAAAATTTGTAACGCCTGAAGTTTCTTAAGGCTGAGAAGATACTATTTTAAATGGTATACATGTTTTTTCAAAAATTTTACCTGTTTCCCATAAAAGACGTGGGGCGTCGAGTTTGGCTGACCCTGTACATTAAAACATAGTAATTTCAAACAATAAAAACAGTTTTAGCAGCAACGGGTGTGAGTTTAAAACGTGGGGGCTCAAATAGACAGGGCTTCTTCGGTAACGAAGTCTATTATCGTGCCAACTGAGCTACAGTTTCAGTCTGCTTTTTACCCATTAACCTCTTCATATTATCGGAGTGCACACGCTCGATTAGCTCTTCCTTTCGACTCTATGGTTTTACCTGGGCTTCGAGTTACTCGATTCGCCCATCCTTCTGGCAAACTGGTATCATCCATGAAAATGGAATCCCATCACGAAAAATGGATGACGCTGTCCGCTTCCCCCGAACGTCGATTTCGAGATTATTTGTACGAACTTGAGGTACTGTATAATGTACCACCGAACTTGCTTCGGTGTCTCACGTAACTGAGAGTGCTGATCCTTGTGGCACTCCCGTTGTCATGGTCCTGGCCGTAGATCGGTGATATTCAAACTCAATTTAGAACGTTCTTTCGCGTAAGAATGACCAAACAAGTTGTAGCACCCGAGTCGATAAGCCGGCCTGGTGCATGTTGAATGAACGCCTTGGATACGTCTAGGAATACTACCCCGGTGTATTCCAGGCGATTGAATCCCTCGGAGATGCGTTTGGGTCAGAATCCGAACTGGGCATCTCGTATGACATTCAGTTCCTTCACTTACTCTGCTAGTCCTCCTAGGGATTTGTCCTGGTTTCAACAAGACGATTACGTCTGCGGATTTCCACGTCTTGGGGAAATACCGTAGCAGAAACATCGCGTTTACGCTGTTTGTGCAGCTATCGCCTTCCTGGGAAGATACTTTAGCGTGTGATAACCGTTTCATATTCCATTACGAGCACCTTGGTCGGGACTCCGTCGTTGCCTGAACATTTCCTCAGGCTGAAACATTTCAGTACCACCCTTACTTCCTCGAACGTGCTTGGGTTGATTTCGTCTCCATCAGCTTCCTCCAGCATCAGTCGTACGGTTCGATGGATGCGTCGGAGGTGGTTCAAATTGACGTCCTCAATGTTCGGACTGAATTGGTGTTTGATGGTTTCCCCGATATCCGCTTTCTCGTCGATTGTAAGGGCCATTCCACGTGTGCCGTGAATGAGAGATATCTTCGACGTCAGAATCTTCACGGTCTTCGAAAAGGCGTCTCGGCTTTCGGCTGGCCGTTCGATGACTTCATCGTGTACTTTTTAAATTTAGTCACAGCTAGGCTTACCATATTTTGACTAATGAGTTGGCGATCAGGATATGTTGCATTAAAGAGGTCAACTACTTACTAAATTAATTTTTGACACTTAGGAAATTGTTTAAAATAATTGGTTACCATAGTTACTAATGGGTACTGCTATTTTTATCATATCCCACTTTAAAGTAATTTTTCTCGATAATTTTCTTATGTAGCTAATATTAATTTTGACTCTATTAAATTCAGAAAAAATCCTCTTTCATATTCCATAATAAAAATGGGATTGCTATTAAAAAAAAACAATGACATCATTACTCGTTTAAAAATCTATACCAAATAATTGCCAAAAATTTAAATCTTTAGACCTGTCTGAACAATTTTTGCATAAACTGTTTTTAATTGTTTTAAAGAATTTATCCGTTACTTTTAGGAAACCTGTATATGAAAAACATTTCTCAAAAGCCTGATGTGATAGTCAATTTTTGAAAATAATTTCAGAATTAGAATGAAAATGTAATCTGTTAACCAGTTTAACTAAATAATTCTTGCCAAAAGTTGCAAATCCAAATCAATAATTCAAATTTTTTGTTTTACTTTACAACTATGTATTCTTTATTTTCTTTAATTTAAAACGGGCGTTAAATTGTAACTGTTCTTATGATAAAAGAACTTGGTATTAGCCACTTAAGTGTTAAAATAATATACCAACAAAAAGAAACCATCGAACAGTTAATTATTTTTTTCAAGTTGCTTTAAAGACACAGCCATAGTGTATTACACCTATGGAAAATTGGAATCTGGTTCTAGTTTATTAATGGAATTTTACAACAATTAAAAGCAAAAATAGAATTTTTGAAAACTAAATGAAGGCATTTTACCTAGTATTGCTAGCAATTATTCTAAACGACAAACACTTATTGAGATTCATTTGTTAAGATGGTTTGCAAGACGATGAGACATTGTCTATGTAAAATAATTGAAATAAAATAATCTTGTATTGAATAACATTCACTCTATTTTTTCGTATATAATCAATTTTAACATATAAAAATTTCGTTTTTACATTTCATGTTGCTGAAAGTGCCAATTATTATTATTCACATTTACTTCTCTTGTTGCAATTTGTACACATCATTTCACGTCTATCTACATTTAAAGTAACAACTGTATTAAGCACAAGAACTGCCTAATTGATTATTCAATCATCCTCCCAATCTTTTCTAGTAACTTTTTCTCTAAAAAATCAGCATCGTGCTAAAAAATGACAGAAAATATATAATAAACTATATATATATATAACGGGTGCCAACTTTCTACTTGCCAAACAGCCATAAACTTTACCGAAATATGTTATAAATACGTGAAAAATCTAAGAAAATAAGTAGTCATATACAATGCTTATCAAATGCTGTATGTTCCATTAAAAACAAAATTGATTTAATTTTATCCGCAAAATATTTATATTAACAAAAAATAGAAATCGATATGTTAAAGTTTATAATTCACACCCTATCGGCTTTTTGGTAAGCGAAGGTGCCCTTGGCATTTTAATTACCTGAAAAACATATAATCCTTTTAAGGTAAACACAATCAACTCTTTAACTCTGTCTGCGGTTAAATCCAAGTATTTTATTCGAAAAATTGGGCTCACCACGTACTTTACTTCAAAAATCTTGTATTCGTTTTCTTCGCGACTTTTTTTATATAACAAAATTTCCTTAAATTCAAACCAGAAAAATACATAAACATTTTTGTTTGGTTCAATAGATATTGTATAGGATCATTTAAAGGATTCATTAACTCGACCCGTTTTATATGAAAGTCACATTATACGCCTTTGTTTACAAGTACAGGGTGTCCCAATTTCGATGTCCGCATAGGCTATCTCCGAAACTAAAAGAGATAGAAAAAAAGTAGCTTACATGTCATGATCTCGTTTTTCGAGAAAATGTTAATGCCGAAAACTCCGAACAGCTATCGTCTTTTGTTTTCGCCCTATCGGCAAAAACTGAAAATTTTGTGAAAACGACAATCGCGAATATCTCACTTATTATCAAAGATGGAGTATTATAAATAAAACATTATATGGGCAACTTTTTACGAAGAATTCAGTGGCGTAGGTAGAATTTTTTTCCCATCTTTTATTTTCGAGATTTTAGACGTAACTTTATTTTTTTAAATGGAAACCATAGTTGGCTATGACTTAAAATAATTTGTTATTTTCTTCTGATAACAAATATATATAGTTTGTGGGGTATATTTCTTATAGTTATTGAATAATTAACAAAAATTCATTTTGTTCCATCTAAATCTAATGTATGTATTTAAAAGTTAATGTTGCTATGGTGATAACCATACATACTATGATGGAATATAATGTATCAATTTTGTTTGTTCTTTCTAAAACTATTGTATGTATTTAAAACTTAATGTTGTTATGGTGATAACCATACCATGAGGGAAAGCATTGTTTCCAATTATTGCCAAAGTTTGTAGCAAGGACAGTAGAATCTAACAGGACTGCTACATCCATTGTATTTTTGTAGTCGACTACGGGTTGGTTGCCCGCACTCTACGTCACACTATTTGCCACGCCTGATAACTGTCTATGTTTTTAGAGGTTATATGATAGACATTAATACGTCTAAAAACATAAAACTTCAAAACTAATATGAATACGTCTAGGATATAACCTCTAAAAACACACAGCAAACGCATAGACCATAACAACAGCTGGGCGTGGAAAATGGTGTGACGTAGTTTGCGGGTAGGCTGTCACAACAATGGATGTAGCAGTCCTGTTAGATTCTACTGTCCTTGAGTTTGTAGTAGTATTTAAAAATTCACTAACAACTCTGGCATTATGTGCTGGTGCTCCGTCATATTGAAAATATATCATTTGAGACATATTTAGTGGCAAATTGTCGACCAAAGGCTCAATGTGCTGCCTTAATATATTGAGGTATTTCCCTGAGTTTAAGTTTTTATGGTAGATACTATATGCCAAAATTCTATTATCTAAAAGGGCACACCATACATTGAACCCCAATCTTCTTTGAACACTCAGAGACTTCATCGGTCCAGATAACATTTTGAACAAACAGCAGATTATTTAATTTTTTTAAATATCATCTACAAAATTCTAATCTTCGATTGACATCTCCGGCACGTAAATAATGAGTTAGCCCCGCTTTGTATGGTTTATACTTATTTTTCTTTCATATTCGGGAGCAGCGGCTTTTGGGTCAGACGTCTTGTTGCAATTTCTCTTGCAGGTCATTTTGGTATGTTTTTGTATGTGGTTTGGGGAAGGACCAAATATCTATTAAATTTTCTGCTAACCGGCTGAAGGTTCTTACGTGCGGTTGTCTTCTTTCTGGATATCTTGTGAAATAAAATTCCGCGGCTAACGTCGCATTCTTATCTGATAACATATAGCATTCCATCATGTTACATTTTTCATAATTTTCGAAATTCATTGTAAAGTTTTATTCAGTTTTGTTATACTTTGACACTTAACATGCTGGTGCATCGTACCAGCACATAATGCCAGAGTTGTTATCGAATTTTTAAATACAAACTTTGGCAATTATTTGATACATTATGTTCCATCATAGTATGTATGGTTATCACCATAGCAACATTAACTTTTAAATACATACATTAGTTTTAGATAGAACAAAATGAATTTTTGTTAATTATTCAATAACTATAAGAAATATACCCCACAAACTATATATATTTGTTATCAGAAGAAAATAACAAATTATTTTAAGTCATAGCCAACTATGGTTTCCATTTAAAAAAATAAAGTTACGTCTAAAATCTCGAAAATAAAAGATGGGAAAAAAATTCTACCTACGCCACTGAATTCTTCGTAAAAAGTTGCCCATATAATGTTTTATTTATAATACTCCATCTTTGATAATAAGTGAGATATTCGCGATTGTCGTTTTCGCAAAATTTTCAGTTTTTGCCGATAGGGCGAAAACAAAAGACGATAGCCGGTCGGAGTTTTCGGCATTAGCATTTTCTCGAAAAACGAGATCATGACATGTAAGCTACTTTTTTTCTATCTCTTTTAGTTTCGGAGATAGCCTATGTGGACATCGAAATTGGGACACCCTGTACTGTAGTGTGGTTGTACATTTTCATACGACTTTTTTTGGAGACTATTGTTTTTGTAATTTAATAAAGGGAGATGGGGAATGGAAATAACCATATTATATGACAAACTCTAAGCACATATAACTTTAAGGTTAAAAAACTGCACAATGTTTTTAAAATAATTTTTTCTTCCTTTCATTGGTCTTAATATAACGCATGTCTCAAAATTTCATCAAATAATCGCTAATAATGAAAAAAATTGTAATCGAAAAACAATTCACGTGGACATCTTTATGATGAAAGTCCATATTCACAGGTGTCCCCATAATGGTAGGAGAGGCTGTATTTCGACAATGGTAAGGCCTAAAACTTTGGGAAAAGAAATCCTTATGGGTAAGGTGGGCAAGAGAAATAGCTAGAAATTATTTTGAAATTTTAGGCATAACTATCATGACTTTATTTGTCCCATTAGATGTACATTGACTTAGTATACATAAAATTATTATAAATTAAGACAGGAAAAATTTGGCTTAATTTGCTCTTCCACTCAAACCTAATAAAACTAATTCTATATAAACCTCATTCTGTGACGAAACAACCTTAAAGAAGTGCTACATTTTATAGTTGATGGCAAATCATTAAGAATATGTGTTATTTGGTATGAAAAGCATTTCTTAAATAGCTGGTGATGATGGATCGGCAGGGTAAGAGTGCCCTTGAATCGAATATTCAAGGTATGAACATCGGTACGAAATTTTATTCTATTGAACAAGTATGGAGGTTTCTTCAAAGTAATTATATTAAACAACAATGCCGAATGAAGGATGCGCCTGTTTTTCATGTTGAGCCAACTCAAATCCTTTAATTTGTGCGAAACATGCTGACGCCCCCGTAACCCAAATATCACAAGCGCAAGCAAGAATTTTGAATTTTCTGAATTTTTTTCGTATTACTATGCGAAATACACTGATCATACAATGTATCATAATTAAAATGCGATAACACCAAAGCCCCAGTCTTCGCACAAAAGCACCCTTGTTCTACGATTGAGGAACGACCGACCGTCATAAATCAGCTTAAGAGCAGCATACGCGGAACCAGTGCACTTATTGATGTGTTTATCAAAACTCAAATTTTCGTCCAATAAGACACCCAAGTTTCTCACACAATCCTTCAGCGGCAATACTTGATTGTTGACAACTATCTTGACCCGATCCCGAACAGAATTGTCACTTATAACCTTTCTTGGCCCGAATAAAATCAGCTTCGTCTTAGCAGCATTTAGACAAAGGCAGTGACCCCTAAAAACCAGCTCCAAAGCCTCTATACCCGAAGTCAGACCAAAATAAACATCATCGACATCCGATGGCAGAAAAGATATATATAACTGGGTGTCATCCACGTAGAAATGATGATTACAACTAAAAGGGATGAAATTCTCCATATTTCTCAAATAATTAAAAAATAATATAGGAAAAAGTAGAAACTTTTTTTGAGAAATACTAAAATATTTAATTTAATTCAAATAGTAAACATGTTTGGAAACTATTGTTTCATCTTCAGTACCTATTAGTGATGGGAATAATCGAGATATATGAATAATCGATTATTTGATTATTAATCGATTATTATACAATCGAATAAAATAATCAATTATAAAATAATCGAATGAAATAGTCGATTATAATATCATCGATTGTTTTTTCATTCGATTATTTTTTCACTCGATTATTTTTTCATTCGATGATGAAAGTTGAAATAAAATTTTATCTAAAATATTTACGGTATTACTACTGCAGAGGGCTGTTTCGGGGATTTACCGAATTCTTTGAAACTTGATGTACATACACGTGCACACCCCTACCTGAACTACGTTCGGCGTTCACTCGAGCACAAACTACACGGCAAAAAAACCGTGTTGTTTTGCAACCAGGTCAAGTGTTTGTGTATTGTTCTGTGTTTATTAAGATTTAATGATATGCCGCGTCAAACTGCAAAGAGATCCTTCGTCTGGGATCATTTTGTACGAAAAGGAGATGTCTCAATGTGTAGTGAATGTAAGCGAGAATTTAAATTCTTTAGCAATACTACAAATTTAAATGAACGCCTAAAACGAAAGCACCCAGCCTTATTATTACAAAAATCTAAACCTACTGAAGATACATCATGCGAAGAAATTCGAGGTACACTCCCGTCAACTTCTACAACTGAAACTTCCTAACAACATTCTATAATACACCCATCGCCTTCCAAACGTAAACGCCAACTTGCTCTTTACGGAAAAACACAAACATATAATACATATTTCAGAAAATGAGCAAACCGAAATAGATCAAAGTTTAGTTGAAATGATAGTTTCTGATTTTCAGCCCTTATCCATTGTTGAAAATAAGGGGTTCATAAAATAAACAATTAAACTTAATTAAAAAAATTACAACTTCCCTGATACCAAATATATATACAGCAACGTTGAGTAAGGTTAAAAATGAGTTAAATTTGTCGTCAAATTTGTCTATAACAACAGATAGGTATATGGACATCATCATCGACGAAAGCAGTTTTGGTAGTTACTGCTCATTACATAAACGGAAGCCAATTGAACAGTTACCTACTGGAAACAAAACAATTGGTTGATCGTCATTCAGCAGGAAATGTTGCCAGTGCACTTCGCGAAGTTTTTGAAAGTTGGGATATCTTTGAAAAAGTTCACTGTATTGTAACAGATAACGCTTCAAATATGAGAAACGCTATCACTGTTCATCTCAATAAGACTCACCAACCCTGCATAGCACATACGCTGAACCTATGTACCATGGACGCCCTTAAACATGCAGATCTACAGCAATTGCTCGAGAAATGCAAAAATATTGTGAGGCACTTTAAAAGAAGCACTGTAGTATCTGGTGAACTGGCCAAAATGCAGGATCAAATGAAACTTCCTCTGCTAAAAGTGAAACAGGACGTTTCAACAAGATGGAATTCTTGCTTGGCGATGATGCAACGATTAGAGGAATTAAAAGTTCCGTTGTCAGCAGCAATGTCCAATTTTCCCGGATCACCTTCACTTTTGTCATCGGAAGACTGGGCACTAATTAAAGACTGCATATGTATTTTAAAATCTATTGAAGCTATGAGTTCCGAGTTGTCGGGAGAAAAATATATAACGTTGTCCATTATCATCCTCTTAATTCGTGGTGTCCAACACGCTGTTGAGAATGCACAACCAATAACTTCCACGGGAAAGATATTGCAAACTAATTTTTATGATATCCTATTGAGGAGTTTGGGTTATGTTGAATCATCAAAAATTTGTGCAAAGGCGACATTATTGGACCCCAGATTAAAGATATTGGCCTTCGATAAGGTAATAAATGGTAATCAAGACCTTAAATGGATTACAGAAGAAGTAGAGGATTTGATTGTGACTATCACTCAGCATCTAGAAACTCCAAATTCTGAAATATCTTGTACTCAAATTATTACTGTTAACTCATTTTCGTTAAAAGTTTTTTTTTGTTTGTTATTGCAATAGTTCGATAATAGAGTATATTTGAATATAAATTTTAGATTCCAGCGAGAACAACCAAGCTAGTTTACTTTGGAAGCATTTTGATATAAAAGCTAAGCAGGAATTCAGCGCGTCCACACCTACATATTCTGCCAAAGCACAAATGAGTCCAAGAAGGAGATGTTCCCGGAACTATATAAACTTGCCAATAAGTACCTCTGCGTGCCAGCAACATCAGTGCCATCTGAGAGGGTATTCTCAAAAGCAGGCGAGTTAACAAAGGACAGAAGGAGTAGGTTAAGCACCAATATGATCAACGAAATCATGTTTTTAAATAGTAATATGTAGTGCAATAAATATTTTCTTTGAAATATGTATTTTGACTTACCATCCTCCATATTATCATGGGGAATCAAATAATCACTCTTTTTTTACTTCATATTAAACAACTAGTAATGAATACAAACATAAAACGTGGATTCTACTAATCATTTGAGGCTCTATTTAATTTAAATATTAAAATGAGACATTCAGAGAAGTCGGTAAATTCCCAAAACAGCCCTGAAGTAGTCAATATTTTATATAGAATTTTATTTTAACTTTCAACATCGAATGAAAAAATAATCGGGGGTAAATACACAAGAGCTTGACTTTTAATCGAATAATTTTATTTTTACACGAACGTATTGTTACCATGGAAATAACTCGAAATCAAAAGCAGCTTTTGATTTTGATTGAGACATGTCGTGTCGCTAAAATTATACATACATTTTTATACAACATTTTCAATACTGAAATCCTATATAAAATAAACAACTCATTAGAGTTGATAGAAAAGATAAGAAAAATTAAACTCCAAAAAAAACTCAAAACTGATATCATTCGACATAAAAATCTATATACTAATGTCCCATTAATGTCCATTAATGACTATATATCCATCATAGAAATGTTTCTGATTTCCAACTTAGACAAATTAAATTTGAATAAAAAGGAAATCAACGTCTTCATCGAAATGTTGACTAATTCTAGAATACTATTCTAGAATTCTAAAACAATATTAACAAATTAATCTACCCGCGTTCCTATGCTTAACATAAATACATTTCTTTAGCATACAACCCTGCAATACAAAGACTTTTTAAAAACAATAAGTATATCCCAGTTCAATACAAAAATCGTTTTTTCTTCTAATAACAATATTAGGAAGACCTTAATTAATAATAACCATAAATTTAATCAATTAGAATTAAGTGGCATATACTATAGAATAAACTGTGAAGATTGCCAAGGTTTTTACATAGGCCAGACCGGAAGAAATTTGAGCACAAGATTTAAAGAACATACGACCCAAATTCTTCAAAAGCTTCCATAAACACCTAACACAACAAAATCTCAAAACGAATGTTATTAAAATATATTATGTCTTATAAAGAAATTAAAAAAATCTAAAGAGTTGGATCTACAAGAGCTACTTATATTCGAAAATAAGAATAATCCTAATTTACTTAACGATACTACCGATTTTAATGTAACAAGATGTTTTATGAGATTTATGTAATTTTTCATCCTTCTCTAATACTACTGTTAAAAAACTTTTTATACTATAATATCTACGTTCATGTCATTTCCTTCACAGTTTATGTTTTCGTTACTTTTATATATTCATAACAAAATTTTACGTTTTCAACTAGTGCATAATGTGTTCATACACCAATATTATCTACCTTTAGAAATAATTTGAGGTCATTTTACTTGTTTTTTATTCTTCGTTGTATCTCACAATTGTGCCCGATGAAGATAACCCTGTAATCGAAATACACCGAAATAAATAATGAAATATTTACATATATCATTGTTGAAAAGCAAACATAGTTTGTTTTATTGTTTTTATACTAAAGACGAAAAACGATGAACCTAAAATCCACATTAGCTACATTTTTTTCTGTTAGTAGATAAGTATTGCTAGATATTAACCGGTGGATATTAACCCCTTTATGCTGTACCTTATCGGTGACGTTGAAACGTATGGAGCGGAATCCTGGAAGGAAAACTTATAGGCACAAAAATTATGACCAACAGGTCATAATTTATCTATAGGGTAGACTAAAATACCTGTTTTTTTCAAGTAAAAGCCAACAACTAGGGAAATATGATGGAGAGAATACGAAATGCTATTAGAAAAGTGTCCAGGGCTAAACGTCAAGCATCGTTTTTTTCCGCCGAAACTAGACATTTTGAACATTTGCTGACAATTTTTGGCTAAAATTTTAGTAATTCTAAGTGTTTTGGTTTATTTTATTTTATTCTTATTATAAAGTGTGAAGGGTGGCCCTAGAAAATAAAATTTTTGTGCTGTGTGATTTGTTTATTAAGGTAATTTGATTCGATTAAGGTATACGAATTTTTAACATTTTCTTCTATAATTCGAGAACTGATGGAAATATCGAGATCAAGTTTTCACTAAAGTTTAGCAAATTTTATGATCGAATTACAAACTACAAAATAATTTCCTTGCTCACTTTGCAGACAAGGATTTTTTCCAAACCTGTACTATCCGTGCAAAAAGTCAAAGCCCCTCACTTTAGGGATCGATATCTTCGTCACCGCTGGATGAAAAAAATTGCGGTAAAGTTGATTGCAATCATTGAATATTTCTACGTAACATATATTAATTTGAACATTTTCGGATCCGCGGTTTTCTTTTTATCGTGAATTAAATGAAAAAAGTACCCGATTTTTGAATGTGCCAGCAACTTTGTCAACTTTGCGATTTTTTTTCTCGATGTGTTCTTAATGTGTGGCATAGTTTATTTTTTCGATCTTCCATATAGTTTCGCGGAAAATAGCGATTTAGTAGGATGCGGTTATTTCGAAAACGACCTGGCGGATTTCAACGCGGTTTTTATCAAAATCCGTTATCAATTTTTCAAAATTAGCGCCAGCACCATCTCTTTAACTCTGTTCCGATTGGCCGGAACCCCCCTCTCCCCGCATGGCTTATTTCTGTTTCTCTTTAATTTGTAATTCTATTGAATCGCTCTTAAAAAATTAGGGAGCCCTAATTTTGAAAAACTAATAATGGAATCCGACAACCGACATTATTTGACATATTTTGGTCAAATCCGCGCGGAATTCCGCCAGGTCGTTTTCGAAATAACCGCATATTAATAACCCGCGATTTTCCGCGAAACTATATGGAATATCGAAAAAATAAAATATGTCATTCATTAAGAACACATCAGGCTACCACCTGTTCAAAACTCAAATTTTTTCGTACCATAGTTTTTAAGAAAAAAATCGCAAACTTGACAAAGTTGCCGGCACCGTAAGAAAACCCCTTTTTTCATTTAATTCGCGATAAAAAGAAAACCGCGGATCCAAAAATGTTCAAATTAATATATGTTACGTAGAAATGTTCATTACAATAAACTTTAGCGCAATTTTTTTCATCGAGTGGTTACGAAGATATCGATCCCTAAAGTAAGGGGCCTTTACTTTTTGCATGGATAGTAGGCATTATCATTATCGAGAGTTGCAGCCGATCCATACCTTTATGGGTACACACGGCATAACAAGGATATTTTAATAACTGAACTGTAAAAGTTTCTAAAATTCATTACCTGTCTACTATTTCCTAACAATATCTCATCCTCACCATCGAAATCCAAATCAGCAACTTCCACACATGAACTTATACTAACAACTTCAGTTCTTCTTAATGTTTTATATTGATCCAATCCGTTTTTAATACAATCACTAAAATCGATATCAATATTTTATAAGTTTATATACAGTGTGTTTGATTTTAGTTGTCACAGCAGATATCTTGGTTATTGTTGGAGATATGACAAAATGTTATAGAAGGAAAGTTGCTCCACACTTAATATTCTATTGTCTGCCATATTCAGAAAAACAATTGAGCATCAAATGTGTTGTTAAAACGTTTCCAATTTTATTATGTATTATAAAACTAAAAAAATCTATTAACAATGATAGATTATTTAATCAATTAATAACACAAATTGATAATTAAGTAGCAAATGCACGGTTACATAGGTTATTGTTGTTCTCACAAGAGTAGAGGGTGAAACAATTGACATTATTTGGAAGCTGTCAGTTTTAAATAACAATAACTTAATAAGTCAACCAAATTAAAATTTCAGAATTTGTTTTTAATTGATTAGATAATTATGGCATGTGATAAGTCATTGTAAATAGATTTTTTTTGTAGTTTTATAATATGTAATAAAATTAGGCATGTTCCATTTAAAATTTTGACATGTTCCCTGTATCTAACATATTTGATGCTCAATGGTTTTTTTGAATAGGGCAGATAATAGAACATTAAGTGAGCCACATTTTGTCATATCTCTAACAATAATCGAGATATCTCTTATGACAACCAAAATGAAACACACTGTATATAGTTTTAGTTTAATCATACAAAAATACCACTGATGGCAGTGAGGTATTTGTTACAATAACATTTAAAACTGGAAAATCGTTTTCATCCATATCTTTAAGATCATGTTCATTATTTTTGATTAAAGTTCTAGGCTTTTTAATAGATTTGTGTTCCTCAAAAATTTTTACCTGAGACACATAACTTATAAAATTTGTGCTGTGATTAAAAATAATTGTTTTCGTTTTCACACAAATTCTACACATTCGAACATAACCAGCTTCTGTACCAAATACAGTTAATCGCCTAAAAAAATAAATAATAAAAATAAATACACTATATTAAATAATGTAATCGACTTACTGGGAATAGTTATTAAAATATTGTATTTCAATCCAAGTAATCATGTCTGGTGTTTTATAAAATTCAGGAAAATATTCCATAAAAAGGATTTCTTGAAAAGTATGGAGCAAATTATCTTCTTTATACATATGAACTTGTCGGTCATTTCCAGTCAAAATAAACACAGGTTCTCTCTTAACTAACTTATTATCCTTCCATTTAATTAAGTCTGTGTGACCATGAAAATGTGGAATAAAATTCAGTTGAACATTAAAACAATTCTGTGCAATATTATCAATATTAATTTCCTCATTGTCCTCATATTCTGAGTAAATATTTAGATATGTTTCCACCAAATCCTTACAACTCTAAAAATTTCTAAGTAATCTGCATTAAAACAATGACAAGAACCTACTTTTATTATAGTGATTCCTATAACAAAATCGTTTCTTTTGTCTGATTTATTAAAAGCATCAATAGTTATAATTTCGGAACTAGCTAAAAACTTCAAAAATAAATCTTAATTTAAAAGAAATATAGATAATAAAGATAATTTACATGGAATATAAGTAAATGGAATCTCCTTAGTAGTTGGAATTAGGATAGAATTAGGCTTTTCTAAATATTCCAAGCAAAAAACTTGTCGTTTCAAAGAAGCCACCAATATTTTATAAGTACCATTTATCAACTTTAAAAAACATATGGTATTCACATTTCCTTGGGATGGCATTGGAAAATAATGAGCGTGGTTTAAATTTTCCATTCCTTCTTGCATTTTGCCAAGATGGAAACAAGAACCGTAAAATATTTATATAAACCATAAACACCATAAAACAATTATTTGTTGTCAAATTTTGACATGTCCAAAATAATTGGTTCGATTGAACTGTAATTTTAAACTAAAGTAGATAATTATTTCAGTAATTTTAGATATCGATATAATTTATGTTTTACTAACAATAAGTTTATAAATGTAAATCGATTTAACAAACAAATTAAATTTATAGTATTTTAAAAATAAGGATGGTTCGATTAACTTGCTCGCTAGAATTTCAAGAATGTTTAAATTATTATATAGGTATATTATAATCTTTATATTCATATAATTATGTATAAATACATTTTTCATATATTAATAATATAAATAAAATATAAAAAAGTATTTTTGATAAATTAGCTATTTAAATTTCCCACTCTCATCAAATTCTGCCACAATTTCATTTTACCAACCCACCCAAAGATCACATAACCATACTTTTAATATTAATTTGGAAATTCATAAGATTTTATTAAATAATTAGTATTTTAATAATGTATTTAATCAATTAATTATGAATTCATCATTATAAGTTACGAACTGTAAGAATCTCATCATCATTTAAGCTTCTATCGAAAATAGAAAAAGTAAGGTTAGTTTAAAAAACTAATTAGTGAATATTTTTCACAAAGCCCTTCTTTCTAGATGAATCCGTCAACATTAAACGCAAATGCCCACGACCGAACGATCATCCATGTAGATATGGACTGTTTTTATGCCCAAGTTGAAATGAACAAAAACCCATCCTTGTTTGATAAACCTCTGGGAATTCAACAAAAAAACATTGTCGTCACTTGTAATTATATCGCTCGTGAATATGGCGTAAAAAAATGCATGTTAATTACAGACGCTCAAAAAACGTGTCCTAATTTAGTTTTAGTTAATGGCGAAGATCTTCATGATTATCGTCAAATCTCTTATAAGGTAACAACTTTTTTACAACAATTTACACCTCTAGTCGAAAGATTAGGTATGGATGAGAATTATTTAGATGTAACCAATTTGGTAAAAACTAGGTTAGGTTCAGATTGTGTTAATAAAGTTTGTAGTTTTAATGCTTTAAAGCCCGTGGGCCACATTTTTGGTGATTTAAAGTTTGATGAGGATGATGATTGTGATTGTGGTTGTTTTGAACGATTAACTATGGGAACGATTATTGCTAAAGAAATTCGTGATGCCTTAAAAGCAAATTTTCAATTAACTTCTTGCGCAGGAATAGCTCATAATAAGTTATTAGCAAAAATTGTAGGCGGTATTCATAAACCTAATCAACAAACGGTTTTGTATCCCAATAATGCGTTGGAATTAATGAATTCCTTAGCATCGTTTGCAATGATCCCAGGAATTGGTAAAGTAATGGAAGAAATTTTAACTAAGGAATGTTTAAAACTGGACGATTTGCAATGTATTGAAAATTTGGGGCGATTAAAAACTTTATTTGGCGCCGAAAAGGGACGTTTGATTCATAATCTAAGTTTAGGTATTGATAACTCTTTAGTAAAACCGTCAGGAAAACCTCAAAGTATTGGTTTGGAAGATAGTTTTAAAAAAATTACAGCAGTAGGAGAAGTTAAAGAGAAATTTTTATATTTATTAACCAGATTAATGATTTTGGTAAGCGAGGATGGTCGAATACCACGAACGATAAAAATTACAATACGATTATTCGATGTTTTAAAAAAAACCAGTCATAAAGAAACGAAACAGACTAATTTAAATACTTCGTTATTTACAATAGAAAATACTAAGATCCGTTTAAATCCTCAATCGAACGAAAAAATCATCTCAATAATAATGAATTTGGCGAATAAAATCATTTCAAATCATATCAATAAACCGTACAACATAACCTTATTGGGTTTATCTTTCACTAAGTTCATCGAAAGAGCAAAAAAGTCTTCATCAATTAGCTCATTTTTAAGAAAAAATGTCGAAGTTCAATCCATAACTAATATAGAACACAAAACCGATTTAACTCCGATGGAGTGCAGTTCAATATCTATGCCAGAAGTAACCACAATGACTACGGACGGATCGGAATCCGATTACGAACCGTCGCCAAAGAAAAAAATTAAAAGACGATCATTTCCGGCGATAATTTCAAAAAAACGATCATCATGTTTCGATCAAGATCTTCCATCGCCGTCGAAATTGAAAGTCGCTGATTTACATTTGAGTAATAATGATGGTAGTGCTGACGATTTTGAGAATGCAACATCTTCTAGTTCAAGTTTAAAGCCGATTCAATGTCCACTAAACGCAAGCGAAGAAGTTTTCAGGGTCCTGCCTAGAGATATTCAAGAAGAATTGTGGGCAGAATATACTGCTTCTTCAGCTGTCGCTTCTGTGAGAAGTAGTAGTTGTAAGGAAGAACGTGAAAACGGAACAAAACCGAAAATAAATACATTGTTAAATTATTTTGTAAAGAATTGTTGAACGGCGAGGTATGAATATTTATTCAATAAAGACATGGAAGTTAGGGAAAAAAAGTGTTACACAAAGTTATTTTTGTATCGAGAGAAAATGTTAAGCTAAATACGACTTTTAATTTTTTAATTTATAATTTGGTTAGCGGTTTTATAATACAAAAAATACATTTTTTAAATAAAAAGTTTGCAGTTTTTTTATTGAATATAAACACAATATAAAAAAATACAGCATGTTGTGATTTATCCAAAATTATTCTCAACGAATGCCGAATCCTGTTTAAGATGGTAAAATCACTTTTAGCGAAATAGTTGTATAAAATGTGTTATTCTATCATGATATTATAACTTGCCAAAGCTTTATAACTTACAACTTTCTCAAATTTAGGAAGACAAAATACAAAAATTGGTCATTTTTCTGTGGTATAATCATGCGGTATTTGGCTTACTCTATGACCGGCCTATAATATAGTAATTTTTTTTTGATTAGAATCGTTTCATTACCACAATCCGGATGTTTAATTAATTTTTCTGGTCTTTAATTTTGTTAAGATTATTGTATTGTTGATTATACTGTACGGTTGTATGCAATGTGTATTGAACATACATATACTGAGTTTATATAGTGATAGTCCACACCTTTAACTGTATTTATAATACAGTTAGTATACAGTTTGTCCGTAAAGTAACGGATATAGGTGATAATATCATTATGAATGGTTTATGGAAAAAACCCTGAAACGGGTCTAAAGATCTAAATTTTTTGCAACTTTTTGGTGTAGGTTTTAAATTTTTTCCGCCATTTTTATTCGAGTTATGACGTCATCGATATTTTTTTCAAATGGCAATCCTCCATTTTTATTACGGAATATGAAAGAGATTTTTTTTCTGAATCTATTACAGTCAATATTAATATTGGTTACATAACAAATATTTCGAAAAAAATTACTTTAAAGTTTAATTACTTCAAATTCGTTTGACATGAAAAAATAGCAGTAGCCATGAATAACAATCGGTTTAATTACAAATAAAAAATAAAATTAATAAATTAAATGAATAAATAACAAATAAAATTAATAAATTTAATGAATAAATGAAAAATTAAAATTAAGTTAAGTGTTCAAATTGTGCACCATGGGCAGCTTGACAGTAACCTAAACGATTTTTAAATTCTTCCTGACAATTCTCTAAGATATCAGGAGTTATTCACTGAACTTCTTCTCGGATTCTGATTTGTAGTTCAACCAAAGTATTTGATCTAGTGGTATAAACTTTACTCTTCAGATATCCCCAAAGAAAGAAGTCCAGCGGAGTCAAAATCAGGTGATCTTGCAGGCCATTCAATTGACCCTCTTCTCCCAATCCATTGATTGGGAAATAATTGATTTAAATATGCACGAACAGGAACCGTATAGCGTGGCGGCGCGCCATATTGTTGGAAGAACAATTGCAGTTGAAATCGACTTGGGTCAATATCATCGGGAAATCTGGCCCTTATGGAATGAGATCTGTTTGTAGAAAATCTAAATATCTCTCTCCAGTTAAGGTTCCCTCAAAAAAGTAAGGGCCCAGGATAGTATCCTGTACTATTCCGCACCACACATTAATCTTTTGCGGATATTGGGTATGCGATTCTCTTGTCCAATGTGGATTTTGGGTAGCGCAATACCGACAATATTGTCTGTTAACTTGCCCACTCAATGTAAATGTTGCCTCATCGGAAGAAATTATGTTTTTAACGAAATCACCGTCATTGAGCTCATGAATGACGTTTACCTTACTTATAGGGATGATATTTTGCGGTTTTTAATATTTTGTGAACCGTTGTTTTACTAATGGCCAGATTCGACCCAATATCCCTTACTGTAATATGAGGGTTTCCTTGCACAGCCATAACAACCTTATATTGAGCCTCGTCTGAAACATTTGGTGGGCCAGACTTCGAGAGATCCCGTACATGCCCATGATTTTTAAATTTAGTGACAATGCGGTTTACCGTACTTTGGCTTATGGGTTCATGGCCAGGATATGTTGCATTAAAGAGCTCTACTACTTCTTTTTGAGTTCGAGTTCAATCCCCAATTCCAATCAAACACACAATTTCTATTCTTTCCCGCTCGGTCAAACGTACCATTTTAATAAATTAACAACGAAAACAAATAAAAGTAAACAATAAACAAAAATTAACTCAAAAGTGATGTAAGAACAGTTTAAATCAGTGCTATAAGAAACAACAAGCTTTACTAAATCAGTGCTTGACACTTATAAAACTTATAGAATTGTTTAAAATGATTCGTTACCATAGTTACTCATGGCTACTGCTATTTTTTCCATGTCAAGCAAATTTGAAGTAATTAAACTTTAAAGTAATTTTACTCGAAAATTTTCTTATGTAACGAATATTAATATTGACTGTACTAGGTTCAGAAAATTTCTTTCATATACCGCAATAAAAATGGGGGATTGTCATTTGAAAAAAATATCGATGACGTCATATCTCGGTTAAAAATGGCGGAAAAAATTTGTAACCTACACCAAAAAGATGCAAAAAATTTAGATCTTTAGACTCCTTTCAGGGCTTTTTCCATAAACCGTTCATAATGATTTTATCGCCTATATCCGTTACTTTACGGACAGACTGTATATAACTACGTTTATTTAGTTCACTAGGCTTTAGTTTTTAAATTAAAAAAATAAACATCACATACTCACATTTCTATTTGATTTTTCTTACACGATTCATAATGAATCATTACAATTCTTTTTTTATTTTGTAACCTGAAGCATTAGCTATAAGATGGTATATAAGACATTACTTACTTCCACTGACTTTAGAAAATATTGACTATCAAATGAGGAATGTGACAAAAATGAGGTAACATAGTGGCGTAAATTCGGGGTTAAATCTCAATATTCTGACGCTTCGAAAGAAAAGCAGAAGTGATATGATTATGACACTTTCATATCTCAAGTAAAGTGGATTCATATCCCCATTGTCAAACCCAAAGGAAATGAAACAAAGAGTGTCACAAACGCGGATACTTTAAATCAAAATTTCAATAGAATTTATGCGCGATATTAAATTTCATTTTATTTTTTTATAATACAATTAAATTTGTATAGTAAAAAATTAAATTTCATTTATCGTAATAAACGGTTGGTTAAGTCAGTTGAAAAGCTATACTAACGCATCCTCCCACATTCTACAGTTTATATTACAATTTAATTCTAACAAAAACATATAAATAGACATGAATCCATAAAAATTCATAAAATACTCCAAATTAATCGACTAGAACGTTTTTCGTTAAGTTTGTATATGAACCTCATAAATAAACAAACTTGACCACTTCCGGTTACGCAATTTAACTGATATTTAATATTTACATATTTTCATGACTACAAAGAATTTATTAATAAACTTCATACATTTATTATTACAAAATTACTTTAAAGTTTAACTAATTCAAATTTGATGATATGATAAAAATAGCAGTAAGCATGAGTAAACAATTATTTTAAACAATTTCCTAAGTGTCAACCTCTTTAATACAATATACCCTGATCGCCAACTCATTAGCCAAAGTATGGTGAGCCTAACTGTAACTAAATTTAAAAAGCATGGGCATTTCTCTGTCAAGTCTGGCCTACCAAATGTTTCAGGGAAGGTTCAACAAAACGTGGTTTGGCTGGACAAGAAAACCCTCATGTTACGGGTAAGGAGTATTGGGTATAATTTGGACATTAGTAAATCAGCGGTTCACAAAATTTTAAAACCAACAAAATATCATTCCCATAAAGTAAACGTCATTCACGAGCAATGAATCGTAGTTTTTGCAACAACAATTTTGCAACGATGACGAAGACTGTCAAAAGCATAATTTTTTCCGACGAAGGAACATTTACACTGAGTGAACAAGTAAAATAGACAAAATTGTCGGTATTGGGCTACCCAAAATCCAAATTCGCCAAAAAAGTCGCACACTCAACATCCGCAAAAGATTTGGGGAAACCTTAAGTGGAAAGAGATATTTAAATTGTTTCAAAACCGTTGTCAATTTCCTTTCAGGCAATTGTTTAAAATAATTGGTTACCATGGCTACTGCTATTTTTATCATTTATACAAATTTGAAGTACGAGAACTTTAAAATAATTTTTCTAGAACATTTTTTTATGTAACCAATATTAATTTGACTGTACTAGATTCAGAAAGAAATCCTCTTTCATATTTCGTAATAAAAATGGGGAATTGTCATTTGAAAAAAATATCGATGACGTCATAACTCGTTTAAAAATGGCGGAAAAAATTTGAAATCTATACTAAAAGATTGCAAAAAATTTAAATCTTTAGACCCGTTTCAGGGATTTTTGAATAAACCGTTAATTATGATTTTATCGCCTATATCCGCTACTTTATGGACATACTGTATAAAAAACGATGGATGGTGGGCTGATAAAGGACAACCTCCGGTTACGCTATTCGAGTGAAATTTACCGTATGAATGTTTCTCATAATTTTAATCGCTTATACAATAATTTCATTTGTTTAACTCTCTTTAAACAGCAAGTTTATATTGAACTGATGAATTTTGTCCTCCTAAATTCATGAAATTGACCACTGTGCGTGTTGTAAATAAATTAAATAAAAATACACGTTAGGCAACCAAGGTTGCACGAACGCAAAAAACAGTTGGCAACATCGATTTTAGTTAAGTTTAAGATATACAGTCATGCTTATTCTCCTTGTAAGAACTAGATGCTAGTTGCAATAGTAAAACCACTATCAAGCACAAACGGTCAAAGTGTGTGATATAAAACCTGAAAACCTTCCTGTCCCACTGCGAACAACAGTGCGTCGTGGTGTCATGTTTTAGGGAGGATTAGTCGCTGCTGCTGCCTACTTGGATTTGCTGTATCTCGGTAGAACACACAAAAGATTCACTCACTTTATCACTAACTTTAACTTTTCTCGATGATGTTGGTTCACATTCATCACTATCCCTAGCTTTTCTCTTAAAGAAGTTTGTAATCGGTAGCTGTTTTTGACGACTTTTTAACTAGCTGTTGAAATGAACCATCGCAACATAATCAAATAAATCAATAGCCGTAACCACATTGAACTATGAGCTTCAATCTCTGCTGTTGATAGTTTCTTTTTCTTCCTCTTATCTTCCTCTGCTCCCGACAAACCTTCGTTTAGCTGATGGTGTTCATGTAATTGCTTCAACTCATGGAATCTGAGGTCCTTGCTATGTTCTGCAATGAGTTCTTCGATGTCAGTTTCGTCTATCTCAAGGCCTAGAGATTTGCCTAGTGACACGATTTCTTCGACAGACTCATTTTCACTCGCAACGTCCTCTAAGTTTGCTTCTAAAACCACCTCAGGCCACAACTTTCTCCACGCAGAGTTGAGTGTTCTTTTTGTGACACTAGTCGACACATCATGGCAGGCTGTGTCGATGAGTTTTAAGCAAAGTACACTGTCGAAGTGGTTTTTCCAAAACTGTTGTAGGGTAAGATGTGTAACCTCGGTACGTCGAAGCAGAGTTTGAAAAGCCCTTTAGCAAATTGTCTTTCCATTTTCTTTAGATAGCTCAAAGTTTTCAGTCTTCACAAAGTAGCTAATAAGTCGGAATTTCGTTATTTTGTTAAGTTAGTTGTTATTGGTAATAGTTGAGAAATGAAGCATAATATTATAAACAAACTTTTATAAGAAAACTTTTATTTCATTCTTAACAATATTGCTCTCTTACACTTTTGTTATCAGATGCACAGATATTGAGAAAACTACGAAAAGTTTGATGAATTTCGTTGTTTTATAAATTGTTAATGGTAACACCGGGATTCAAAGCATATCACAAAAAAACTTTTAGAGTAAAAGTTGTAGCAAATCTTACTCTTAACAATATTGCTCTCTTGCATTTTTGCTATCAGACAATTGACAATTTCTTGAAGTTCTTGATCCATCGGCTACAGGATGGAAATTGTGTTGGATGGAAGGAATACAATTGTTATAAAACTAAACTCCTCCAAAATTTTATCCTGTACTCTTTTTGTGTGGGCAGGAGCATTATCCATAAGTAGTAAGGCTTTTTGAGGAAGATTGTTGTCTAGGAGGTATTTTTTTAACTCATGGTAGATCCACACCATCCTCACGCTCGCTCGTCTCGCCTCGGCTGTGCTCCATCCGGAGTCGGTTTTTTTGCACGAGTCAAAGGGCTCTCGCCGAGTCTCGTCTCGATGAAAAAATAACCCCTACACACTTGGACAGTCTCGCCGAGAGATTTCGACGAACACCCTCGCCGAAAGTGTAACGCTAGCATCAGGACCAGCAAAACAGTTTAACCATTGAGCAAACAGCTCTTCGTTGATCCATGCCCTGCTGACCGTTGACCTCCACATAACAGGCACTTGCTCTTTTGCACATTACATCTCTTGAATGCTGACAAGGAGAGGCATTATCTTCATGTCGCCACACGCATTCGCACAAAAGAGAAGAGTCAGACGGTCTTTTATTGGTTTGTGATCTGGTAACTTGGCCACCTCTTGTGTTATATAGGTCCTCTTCGGAATTTTTTCCAGAAGAGGCCTGTTTCGTCGCAATTAAAGACCTGCTGGGGGATGTACTGGCCCGAATTAATAAGCGGTTTGAATTGTTTTATAAATTTTTCTGCTGCTTTTTCGTTGGCACTGGCTGCTTCGCCGTGACGAATGAGACCATCTTCGGCTTTTCGTATATCCACATCAGCAGCAATTTTTCAACTTCTTCTATCACACGTGGTCGCTGCCTCGTCGACATGTTAATTGCGAGACCCTTTGTTGCATCTAAGCTTTTTATTGTCTCTTTACTCCTCAGAATGGTCATATTGTAGATGTTGTCTTATTATACAGGGGGTGTATCTGAATGACGTGCCCAAACTTATCTTAGTTTGGGCACATCATTCAGATACACCCAATGAATGATGTGCCCAAACTAAGATAAGTTTGGGCACGTCATTCAGATACATCTTGTATAACGTTTTGCTTCGAAATTTTGCTTGAGACATGAGTTTCAGCTCGTAACCCGAAAAACTCATAACCTGATTCACTCGTAATCCGAGGTTCCACTGTATAAGACACATTGAATACCGAAATTGAAAAGATATAACGACTGAAAGGTGCTCTCATATTATATCGCTAAAATCTGTTGTGAGAATAATCATTTAAAGAATCATATTTTAACCATCGCCACCTGCTTTATTTATTTTTGTCGCGTGATAATTGAACGAAAGCTACTTATGCTTAAAGTCAATGCCAAGTGGTGTAAAAACTTTTTGTGAAAATGTCTAACTTTGAAAAATAATTATTAAATAATTAAAAAGGTTTTATCTACATGACCAAGGGGTGATTTTTCAGCAAAAATTAAGGGTGTCTTTCATATAACTTTTTGTTCAAAGCCCCTTCTCCTCAAAGTTATAGCCCTCTAAAGTTAAGGGAAAAAATCTGCAACTTTCTTATCTCTTGACATTTTACAACTAACAAATTGTTAGTTTGATCACAAAAGATAAAATAATGCTTCATTTTTTTGACTAATAATAATCAATCTCTAAATTAATTCATTTGAGCCTGTGTATTCCAGTTACAAAAATCATTCCTCTAAATTTCTCCATAGTAGATTTATTAAATGAAAACAATTTTTTACGCCTGACTTTAGAGGGCTGTAACTTGGGAGGGAGCAGAAGGAGTTTATGTTAAAGTTATAGTTAAAGAAGGAGTTTCTTGAAATCTTTCGCATCAATTTAGAAACACCTGTATATAAGCTTATACACAATTGCTATCAACCTTGCTACGTGACGCCATTCTGAGCTAGAAACATGAAAAAGTAACAAACTAATAAGAAAAACACAGCTAAAAGCGCAAATTAATACATCAAATAATGCACATTATAATCATAAACAATTAATCACAAGTGAGGTTATGAAGGTTATCACTCTTTAAGAAAATGGCGTCGTTACATATACACACATAAATTTAAAGTTAACTTTGAATTCCTCCACTATCCTTTCTGGTTATTCTGTTATTTTGGTTATTAACTAAGCTTTCGTAAAAATAAACGGTTCATTACAAGAAATAACAAAATTTAAAAAGCGCTTGAAACAGCTAAACGTCTAAAAAGTTGCTGTTCAAAACCGCCATCTATTGTCATACATTTTAACTGAAACATGTGTGTTTTTGGTTCGATTGATTTAAGCCTACATTTAAATTAATTTAATATTTATGTATATAGTAACAATTTACTCTACTTTATATGTCATTTGCTCTTCTCTTATAAGACGTTTAAAGTAGTACAATTTCTTAAAGTATATCATAGTATTAATATTTAGCTACATTCACAGCACAAATAAAAATCTTCCAAATCGAACATCGAAAAGCGTTTTACAGGCGCCCTCTACAAACGTTCATAATCCGTGTGCGTTGTCCTGTTGTCATTTCCTGTTCAATACTAAAACGATTACATTAATTTTGCATTTCAATATCGTATTTGTTTTTCCTGAATTAATAATCGTTTAATCCATTAGTATAGTTCAGTATAGTTATGGATTTGTCCGATGAAAATTTCGATCAACCTCAAGGTAAGTGTTAGATAAACCCGCTTTTATTCCAGCCGAACCGCATTCGTAGCATATTCTGTAAATTTATTTTTTTAGGTCGTAAAACGCGCTCAGGTCGCACTCCTGCTCCCCCAAAACCGAAGCAAACTACACGAAAAACAAGGAAAAAAATGGTTTTGATGGAAGTTGAAGTTTCGGATGAAGAGGAGCTCACAACGGGTGATCCCTTGAGGATGGAGGAATCCAACAAGAAAGAAGAAATGGTTGATGAAAATGGATTGCAACAGGATGAAGGTGAAAGTGAACCCCAAACTAAATTTGTAATGGAGATTGAGGTAAAATTAATCAAATAATAGCTGGTTTATGTTTACTTTTAAATTGGTTTGAAATATAGCATAATTCAGATGCAAAATGTTTATCTTTGAACATCATTTGTATTTCAGAAAGGAAGTTTTCTAATTTAGAATACATTTCAAACCAATATTTTAAACATTTTGAATAGGTGTAAAGTTATTTGTCGAAGTATGGTGTTAAATTATTTCGAAAGTGTGTGAAATTGTTGTGTGCCAAAAACTTTCTTTTTGAGTTATTTATTGATTGTTTCAGGAAATATCTGAGAAATTAGATGAAGAGATTTCAGATCAAGATAAACAAATTCTTGGGAAAGAAGAAGATATTATAGAAAAAGATGAAAAAACAGGAAATGAAATTGAAAATGAGCCCATAATTACTATGCCTTTAGATGGTGAAAATGATGAAAAGAATAATGTAAATGATGAGCAAGGAATCACATTTGAAGAAATTGAAGGTGTAAATATGTCTACTAACAATAAATTTGAGGAAGAAAAGGAGATGGAAGAAGATAATGGCAAAAAACGTGAACAAATTGAACCAAAAATAAGTGATGAAAATTATGAAATGGAAGAAAAGGATGAATATGATGAAATCAATAATGTTAAATCAGAAAAGACTTTGGTAAGTGCAATTTATTTAAATTCAATATTTTAGTAGTACAGTAGTCCCTCCATTTACGCGGGGATTACAACCGCGAAAATCCTGCATAAATAGAAATTGCATAAATTGAAGCATTAAATTATATGGAATTAAGGGGGTTCGGTTCCAAGGATTAAGAAGATCTTGAGTTCTAAAATACTACATTTATTCTAAATATATTATTAGGTATATATTTTATTAATGATGCATTATGAATACACTATTGTTTATATAATTAAAAAAATAGGTTGGTATATTTAGTTCTCAGCTGCATACTCTGAAAATATAGAGAATTTGGATACAGATAATGAATATGGAACTGATTTGAAGTTTAAACTTCTAAGAAAAAAAAATCTGTAATTTTGCGCTATTTTGTTTCATTTTGCAGTGTCTGTTACAGATCTCATGTTGTGTCTTTAAATTTTGTTTAAATTTATTTCTATCGTCCTTTTCTATCAACATTTCTAGTTAGTCTTTCTCCCATTTCTAAACATTTATTAACTGGTTTGAGAGTTAAAATAGCTGGAAAAGTGTTTTCGTTATTTTCGTCACTGTCAGTGCATTCATGATTATCATCAGTTACTAAATCTGCAAGCTTTTCTTCTTTCAGTTCAGAATCATGTAACTTAAGTAGCTCTTCAATGTCTGGCAGTTGAATGATGGTCACTAAAACCATCTTTTGGTAACGACTGCCCTAAAGCTACTGTAGCCCGGATATCATTCTGCGAATTCTCATCTTCCTTCTCTGATCTGACAACGTTTGGCCAGATTTTTCTCCAGCATGTGGATTTTTTCAATTCACGGCACGACTGTTCAATACTTTCTATGCAATCAGCAATGTTATAATTTGTCCAGCATTGTGGTAAAGTTTTCACTGTCCAAATTAAAAAAAGAACATGTTAAACTCACCTCCCCCTTATGAACGAAAAGATAAGAAGAGAATCTTTAAATTAAAAAGTAAATTTGACTCTTTTAATTGAAATAATGGGCGGTGTTAATGTTTCATTATGATTACAGCCTTCAATATTGTTTGAAATAAATGCTGGTTTCAGCTGGTCAATATTTGCATTGTTATTTGTTATAATGGTAAAATATTTAGGTGTTCTTTTAACAACTTTGTAAGGACCGTCATATCTGAGAGATAAAGATGACTTAATTTCATTAATTTTGATTACTACAAAATTGGATTTAATTATAAATGGTATAAATGGTATAAATGGTTTCATATTCAAATGAAAAGCTGTATTTACAGGTTTTAGGTCTGCAAATGTTGGACGAATGTAGCTGGAATGTAGTAATTCTGCTTCTAGAGATGATTTAGCATTAACGAAAAATTCTCCAGGTAGTTGAAGTGGTTGACTATATACTAGCTCTGCAGATGAGCAACTTATATATTCCTTGAGGAATAACTGAGTATAGTATTTCCTCTAGCGATGATTGCGGTTTTTAAAGTGTGGTGAAACCTTTCTAAAATCCCATTGCTTTATGGATGGAAAGTCGATGTATGGATTTGAATTGTCCCTATAAGGGTGTTGAATTTTGAAAATAATTTTGATACAAATTGCCGGCCTTCGTCGTGAGTTACGGTGCTGGGGATGCCAAAGTATCTTTGCAATTGTGTCTGAATTGATATCTTTGAGGGGAAAGGCCCTCAAAGGCCAACAAATAAAAGGTTCTGTTACAGTGAGAACATAAGAACAACCAAGTGAAGGGGTAAAAAGACCGATTAAGTCAATGTATGAACCTATGAACAGGATGTACAAAAAGTATGGAATAATGGTTCCTAAACTTCAACTTATATTAAAAAAAGTTTTAATAAAAGTTACTTGAAACTATTTTCCGCATATCTTGGCGTAGAAATAAAATAAAAATCTTGACAGCAGTCTGAGTTACGACATGGTGAGTGTGTTTTTTAAATGGAACACCCTGTATATTTTAAGGTTTTTTGATTCCTTTTGACAAGGTGTTGCAAAATGCTATAAGGTTTTAATACTTTGAACTGCATAGTTTTCGAGATATTGAAACTTTTATTTAAAAAGATTTGACGTAGCGACAACCAAATTATGACGTCATTATAGATAATAAGAAAATAGACAACCTAAGCCTTGAAGTCACAGTCATGGGCGGAGTTTATACCGACTCCAAACATCTTCGTTGCTAACTGTGTTGCTAACGAAAAATTCCCATATGCAATTTTTCAATAGACTGTCTAAGTCTGACGTCACAGAGATGGGCGGACCTTATACGGACTCCAAACAATTTCGTTGCCAACGATAAATCGCCAAAAAATGTCATTTGAAATGTCATCACTTAGTTTATTTTATTTTAACACTAATAAAAAATCGCATATGGTGATTTACCGTTAGCAACACAATTAGCAAGGAAAATGTTTGGAGTCGGTATAAGCTCTGCCCATCTCTATGACGTTAAGACTTAGGTTGTCTATTAGTGTTAAAATAAAATAAACTAAGTGACATTTTAAATGACATTTTTATGGCGATTTATCTTAGCAACTGTGGTTTAGCAACGAAATTGTTTGGAGTCGGTACAAGCTCCGCCCACCTCTGTGACGTCAGACTTACAGTCTATTGAAAATTTGCATATGGGGATTTTTCGTTAGCAACGAAGATGTTTGGAGTCGGTATAACCTCCGCCCATCCCTGTGACGTCAAGGCTTAGGTTGTCTATTCCATAATGACGCCATAATTTGGTTCTCGCTACGTCAAATCTTTTTAAATAAAAGTTTCAATATCTCGAAAACTATGCAGTTTAAAGCATTAAAACCTTATAGCATTTTGCAACACCTTGTCAAAAAGAATCGAAAAACCTTAACATATACAGGATGTTCCATTTAAAAAACACACTCACCATGTCGTAGCTCAGACTGCCGTCATCATTTTTATTTTATTTCTACCGCAATGAAATTTGGGGAATATGTTTAACTAATAACAGGGCACGTTTTGACCCTATTTGTACTTTCAACCTACCCTTCTAAACTACTAAACGTAACTACCCCCTTTACATTTTTGCTAAAATTTTTTTATGCAGATGATAAATACATTAGAAAAATTATACATAGATAGATGAAAGTATCCTAAAACTTTTTTGTCTCTCTAAAATTTTTTCAAAAACGACTAATTTTTGAGAAAAAAAATAATAAAACAAACACAACGGGGTTGTTGATCAAAAGTTGGAATGAATTTTTAATGACAAAATCTTAGTAGGCTTTGCAATCTTTGTCAGAAATATTTTTGACGTTTAAATGTCAGTTTTTCTTACTATTATTATTGTTTTTCAAATTAATTTTTGAATAAACTTCTATCGCATTTACGCTCGTTCACTCGACGTTTCAAAATTTTAAATAAAACAATAACAAAGTAAGAAAAAAATATTTTTGACAACGATTGCAAAGCCTACTAAGATTTTTCATTAAAAATTAATTCCAACTTTCGATTAACAACCCTACAGCTTAACAGTTGGTGTTTGCTTAATTATTTTTTTTCTCAGAAATTATTAAATTTTAGACGAACATCAGGGAGACAAAAAAGTTTTAGAATAGTTTTATCTATCTAACTGAAATTTTTCCAATGTATTTATCATCTTCATAAAAAAAATCTAGGCATAAATTGAACGGGGGTGGTTACGTTTAGTCGTTTAGAAGGGTAGGTTGAAAGTACAAATAGGGCCAAAACGTGCCCTATTATGAGTTAAACATATTCCCCAAATTTCATTTTCCCAGCGTTTATGGTATTTGAGAAAAAAAAATTTAACCAAAATTTTTCGCCATTTTTGGAGGGGTGTAGCTCCTTAGGGGAGCCGAAGTCGCCCATGGTTCATATATCAAAGTACCCTTAAAATTCACTAAAGAATCAGCCCTTGAAGTTTGTTGCAGTCATTCAGATACACCCTGTATATTGCACACTTACGTCGTACACTTGATTGTTCACCTGCGACATCCCAATTATGAAGACTTACTTACGGCACTGCATGTAATTTTAAGGCGTTACTTATTAGTATTGCACAAGAAATTATTACTCGACAGTTATCCCATAGATCTCGAGGTAGTAATACCTCTTATTTTATTCACATTTTAGTAGAATATGTTTGAAATTTTTAATACTTAATATTAAGTACTGCTTTATTTCAGATAAAAGGTTAATTTTTTCGCATAAACAACAAGTGAATCAATAAAGTGTGTTTTGATTAAACAAAATTGACCCGTTTTGGTTTTTTTACCAAATCATTTTCGTTATTGTTTTATTTTATACGATCACTGTTTAAGCTTTATCAATTAAATACATTTTGCATAAAACGTTTTTTTCAGTTACAACCTGATCCTGATACGGAAAATATATCAGAAGATGAATTGCCAAGTGTACAAGTCGTGAAAGTACCGGAAACAGAAGAAGTATCAGACGAGGAACTTCCTGGTCCTAAAAGAGCTGAACTTCCAGCCGATACGGAAGTAAGTTTTATTGAATTATCTTAAAAAATATTGTTGAAATGGCCAAAAATCTCTTATATTATTTTATAATATAACGGTTCGTTTGATATTTGTGTTTCGAATTTCTGTTAACGTGGTGATGTCATGTTTTTGTATACATATGAACCAGCTAATTACCGTTTTATCGAAATATACCTACAGTATACAAAATCCGTATTCGTACACCCACCGAAAAATTGGAAAATTACGAATTACTCAAGAATGATAGTACAAATTTCAAATATTTTTGATGATTTATTTCATTTATACTCTATTTTTTAATTCGGAGGAGTCCTTTCAAATTGAAGCGCTAAAAACTAGGGTTGCCGCCGCTTTATTGTTACAACAGCTGTTACCCTTGTTACTATAGATTAAAAGTATACAGGTGTTTCTAAATTGATGCGAAAGATTTCAAGGGGTGATTTTTCAGCAAAAATTAAGGGGTACCTTTCAAATAATTTTTCGTTCAAAACCCCCTTCTCTTCCAAGTTATTGCCCTGTAAAGTTAAGGAAAAAAAATCTGCAACTTTCTTATCTCTTGACATTTTACAATTAATAAATTGTTTCATCACAAAAAATAAAATAATCATTAGATCAATTCTCTGAATTAATTCACTTGAGCCTGTGTATTGTTTTATTCTTTTGTGATCAAACTAACAATTTTAAGAGAAAAAGTGCCAAGTTTTTAAATAGAAAAATGTAGACGCATTAAAAAGTTCTAATGCAAAGTATTATAGGGGTTGATTTTTTCGGCCCCTTGTAATAACATTTGCGGATTATAAAAATCGTCGAAAAGTGTTATTTTATTAGCAATAGTTATCTGCCAAATTTCATTCTTCTAAATTTGCCAAGTGGTGCAGACACTTTTTGTGAAAATGTCTTACTTTGAAAAATAATTATTAAATAATTAAAAAGGTTTTATCTACAGACCTACGTGACCAAGGGGTGATTTTTCAGCAAAAATTAAGGGGTGTCTTTCATATAATTTTTTGTTCAAAACCCCCATCTCTTGACATTTTACAACTAACAAATTGTTAGTTTGATCACAAAAGATAAAATAATGCTTCATTTTTTTGACTAATAATAACCAATCTCTAAATTAATTCACTTGAGCCTGTGTAATCCGGTTACAAAAATCGTCAAAAAATGTCATTTTATTAGCAACGGTTATCTGCTAAGTTTCATTCTTCTAAATTTCTCTATAGTGGATTTAATAAATAAAAACAACTTTTTCCCCTAACTTTAGAGGGCTGTAACTCGGTGGGAAAGGGTTTTGAGCAAAAAGTTATATGAAAGACCCCCTTAATTTTTGCTAAAAAATTACTGCTTGAAATCTTTCGCATCAATTTAGAAACATCCTGTATATATTTTTTAATAAATGAATTTTAATAATAATATAATAAGTAATTAAATTCGTAACTACAGTTTACTTAATCCTCTCTGATTTTAAAACTGCCGCCAAAAAATATTTTGAAAAATGCAACTGTCTAAACGTGACTTTTCATTTTACTCCTCCGAATTAAAAAATATAATATAGAAGAGTAAAAGCAAAAGTGGATGTCTTAGTTTATTCACAGTTGACAGCAAAAATCTTATTCATACAGGTCGCAAGATTGTATTTTTGTAAAGATAACTGCTGTTATACAAGATTTTTAATTGTGTTTTGTTCCCCCTTTGATTGTTGACCACTGTCTTTTTCAAAAAAACTTCAATGTTGTGAATTATTATAAAAATTGCGTAAAATTCGATGTGGGTAGAAAGTCAGCTGAACTTTCAAAAGAACAAAGAAATAGAATAATAAAATTTCGTATAGAATGAAAATCTTTAGTACTAAGATTTAAAAATTTGACAATTCGCAATAAAAAGACATATCTGAAACATAAGTGTTTTGGAAACTACTTGATATTCACGTAATTAAACCTAGTGTTTCATAAAAAAATAGAGCGCTTAGTTTTTTCAGAACTTCCTTTCCGTGATATTTGACAGTTTTTATACTTTTTCTAACACCGTATAACCGTCCCGCAGGTTGTATCTGAAGATGAACTTCCGGCGGTAAAACGTGATGGTGGTACCAAACGTAAATTGACTGAAGGTGACTACGATCCGGGTTCGCCAACCTCAGAAAGCGAGATATCTGCCAAAAAACCGTTTTTGGATCAGGATGATTTAGATCAAAAGGAAAAGGAAAAAGAGAAGCCGAAAAAGTTACCAGAACTTGACAAGTATTGGAAGGCTGTCAATGATGATCCAACTGATTTTACTGGATGGACGTACTTACTGCAGTATGTTGATCAAGAGGTAATAAATTAATTATTTTTAATTGCCAAAAGTAGTTATTTATGTATCAACGCAGACATCTTAGTTTTAATATGTGCTTAGGTGGCATTGATATTGCATTTCATGATTACTTTTGACGTTTCTTAACAGGCCAATGTTACGTCTGGTAACATTTACGTTCATTGACGCAAACAATTGACAATGCATGGCTATTTTTTGAGGTTGACTATGTGTATATAAATTGGTGAATAAGCTACACACAACAATATTCTTCATTCGTTTCTCAGTCAATAAAGCATATGAATTATGCATTTTTAAACAAACAGTTTGTCCCCATTATCAGTTCTTTTTGGTTGTATCTGGTGTGGAAGCTATATTATTCCACACACATATAATATTATAAAATTTCAAACAGATTAAGTATTTTTTAAATATAAATTATTTTATTTTGGAATGATATACAGGTGATTCTCAACCTATACATATAAACTTAAGGATTTATTCCTCATGACAAATAATGACTAATACTTTTTATATGTTTTTTACTTTTCTTGATATTCGTGAACGTTACTTTTAAATCATGGAACATTTTGAAATAAAATCACAGCAAGTGTTCGAAGTTATTTCCCATATTTACTATACACAATTGGATGGTATCATATGCAATTGTTTGCGAATTTGAAGAAGTGATCAAGGATTAAATGTTGTGATTCAAAATTACCATCAGCTCAAGCTTTAATATAACAACTAGTGTTAAGATTTTATTATTTTATAAAAATTTTTATTCTATTTTAATTGTTCAACAATATTTAGAACGATATGGAAGCGGCGCGAGAAGCATATGATGCCTTTTTGTCCCATTACCCCTACTGTTACGGTTATTGGCGAAAATACGCCGATTACGAAAAACGGAAAGGAAATAAAAAGAAATGCGAAGAGGTAAGTATTATTTTTCTGTTTTTTATGAAAATCCCAATACTTAATTCCGTTTTGTGCAATACACGTAATTCTCATTTTTTAAAATCCCCACAGCTCCATCTTACGCCATTGAAATGTACTACTATTATTATTACTATTTATTATTTATTACCTATTTTATGTGAGATAGTGACTTTGTATTTTATTATTATATACAATACTTACGATTTACTTAAGTATGTATTATATACATTAGAATAGTGTTTGTTTGTTGTGTAAATGAAAAAATCATAAAAATATTCGAGCTTCTTGTCAAACAAACGGCGGGACACTAGCACCCTCTCTCTCTCTCTGAACGTTGGGTTTTTGACGTCACGATGTCAACGATGGAATTCCGGTTGGTTTTTGACGACAATAAACTCTCAAAAATGTAAGGATACGAATGAAATACGTAAAAAAATTTGAAATATGCATATAATCATATATTACGATATTATTTATATTCTTCTTATTTATGGCTAGGTTGATCTACAACATTATATAAAAATATTTTAATGTCCATAGGTTTTTGAAACGTTTCTTTTAATTTTAATTGTATTTCTAATCAAATGCGAAGGTGTTCGAGCGAGGTTTGAAGGCGATTCCTTTATCAGTTGATCTTTGGATCCATTATTTGACGTACGTAAGGACAATGGTCAAACAACCGGAAGAGGACGAAGAGTTCACACGAGCACAATTTGAAAGGGCGCTCGCCGCTTGTGGATTGGAGTTTCGTTCAGATCGTCTTTGGGAGAGTTATATCAAATGGGAAAATGAAGCGAAACGATATCAGCATGCGACCGCCATTTATGATCGACTTTTGTCAACGCCCACTCAAGGATATATCACTCATTTTGATAAGTAAATATCTTGTTGGAAAATAATCATACTATACTTATTGCCTAAACCGACCCGGAAATTTAAATTATTATTCTTATGAAAAAAGTTTAGGGCTACTTTCCTTGTTTAAGCATAAACGTGTTGCTATTTTTCTACTTATATGTAGAATCGTCTTAGGTTAAACGCTAAATTTCAGAGTGTAATATCTCGAGACTTTGATGACAATAGACATAGTTTAAATGTATTTAAATGTGTTGTCTAATTTCCAAATTTGCCTCAACCATAAATCAAATACTGTTTAATAATTACTACAATGATGATTTTGTTTAAAGATCATGTTATGACGTTGTTCTAATGTGATCCTGTATTAAAAACTGTGAAGATATTTCGCAAGGGCCATCTGATTTTAATATTAATTAAAGTGTAATAATTTTTTTTCCTTTTCAATAATCAAGTTTTTGTTAATAATTATTTTTTGTTAATATTTAGTTTTCAAGAACACGTTTCAAATAACACACCAAATAAAATCTTAGAAGTTGACGAATTTTTGGCTCTTCGCAAAGAAGTTAAGCACATTTTAAAACATGATGGTTCTTCTACGTCAGAACCGACTGGAACAAGCGGCGACAAATCAGATCTTCCTCCAGGCGAAGATCGCGAAGAAACTAGTTCTGATGAAGAAACGAAGGCGATTCGGGAAAGAATCATTTCGATTCGAAGGAAGATTCATAAAAATACATCAACAGCTGTTACAAGTCGATGGAATTTTGAAGAAGGGGTTAGTATTTTTAGAAAATTTTCATCTTTTACAAAACATTTTTTATTAGTTCGACGGCTCTCAAGGCCTGTGTTACGTACGTCTATTAAAATACTTCGAATCATTAAATTCAAATCAGTTCAAAAGTGACTGAAGAACATTGCAATATGCCATCAGAAACATTAAACAGTTTTAAAGGACGTATGGTTAAACCTGAAAGATTCCAGTTTTAGGTTTGCTTTTATTTATTTTTTTTTTTGTAGATAAAAAGACCTTATTTTCATGTTAAACCACTGGAAAGATGTCAATTGAAAAATTGGCAAGAATATTTGAACTTTGAAATTGAACAGGGTGACCAAACGAGAATAATTGTGCTTTTTGAGAGGTGTTTGATCGCGTGTGCTCTCTATGAAGAGTTTTGGTTAAGAGTAAGTATTTTAGATTCATATTCATTGTCACTAAATGAGATAAAACTGCACACCATACTTTATGAATACCCTTGCATGATTGTATGGAGATATTACCACAACACTTAACATCAAAGCATTTTCCAGACAAAACACATACTAAAATTAATTGAATTTTGCTCGTTAAGATAAACAGCTATATCTGGCTTGTGTTGGCTTGACATACTAAATATCATTCAAGTAAGTGGGCATCAGTGTGTCCGTTTTAAGACATATTTCAACATTTGACCCTTCCGCCTGATGTTACCATATCATGTATTGTTTATTAAGAAATGTTATGCTGTATGAGAAATAAAAAAAAAGCTGCATTTAACCAGTTACTAAAAAAGTAACTCACTCCACACTAACTTTTAACACTTTTCTAACTTCTCCAACACGAAACGTTTCAGCAAAAATAAACTCACTTTGTACAGCTTTATTTTACAAATCTAAATGATATTTAACAACTGATAAGTTGTTGTCTCTCTTAAAAGCAAGTCTGAAGGCATTTGAAATACATCAAATCTTTAAAAGCGTATGCCGTAATGCAGTAATTTTATCCAATGCAGCTCTTTATCAACATTTAATTTCTATAAAAAAATTTGATTGTATAAAGTGTGATTATAATAAACTGATGTCGTTTAGATTATCTTAACGACCATTAAATTTTGCCGAATTTATATTACAAAGCGATAAGTTAATCAAATTCTTATGGTAAATTTAAATATACTATATATTTAAATATTTATTTTCAGTTTGTTCACTATTTGGAAGGTTTAAAAGATACAAATTTACATGGAAAGATCAAAGATGTTTACGAACGCGCTTGCACCATTCATCATATTAAGAAGCCAACTCTACATCTACAATGGGCGATGTTCGAAGAGTCAATTAAAAATTTCAATAAATCCGCTGAAATTTTAGTTAACATCGAAAAATCTGTTCCAAATCTATTACAGGTAACGGTTTTTTCCATATCGACACTGCCAAGCCAAAACGGTATAAACGACATTTACTTCATTTTTCAGGAAAAACAACACTTTCATCACGTTGTATTGAAATAGGCCTTTTGCGTAAACTTTAAACCAATATTGTAGCGATTGTAGTTTGTTTGCGATTTTGTTTCTTTAACTGTTGAATGCAGATTTATAAATGCTGATCAATGGTGTAACTAAGTAAAAAGTAACCATTTTGGCGTTTATGTCGTTTGGTTTGGCAGTGTTGATATGTTGTGTATAAAAAATTTAATGCAAACCTGTTAAATGTTACATCTGTCTTCTAAATGATCGGAGTTAAAAAGTTACAAAGTTCGCAAAGTTCACATTTTGAGCAATCTCTTATACCATGCATTCTACATGTCATATCAGTAGCATCATTGATTACATAGTTTTATAATATTAATATCATATGTTATATACATTCTTTGAGTACATACAGTATTTTAAAATTTTAGTTAGCACTCTCAAAGCGCGTCCTTTTGAACACAAAGTATTCCTAAAAAGGAATACTGTTCTAAAGGAACCCTATTCTCAAAAACCATAGTTTGCAAAAATTTTGAATTGGCATGTATGAAATTTGATTTTATTTAACTCAGTAACAACAGGGAAACCTTTCGGCAGAGTGAATACCTTGGGGAAGCCAGGTTTCAGTTAAGCAAATTACGTCTAAGTCTGTATTTAAAAGGCCGTTATACATATCAACCAGTTTAGTGCGAAGACCTCGCACATTTTGGTAGTAACACGAGAGAGGAGCCATTGAACATTAACAAGTAACTTATAAAGAAAGAGATAAGACAAATAACAAATGAAAGCTTATCAATGTGGATCTTATTAAGATGGGGCGTGAGTCATCCTCCCTCCGCACAAATATTTTGTAGTCACGGATCCATACGTATTTGTACTTTTCTCCCTGGTCATCTTCTTGGTTCTCCCAAAGAGGATTTTGTTCGCTTGGGTAAGATGCCCATTGATAAAAAGTTTATCCGAAATCCCATCAATGGACAAACCAGGGCCAGAATCCTTCGGAATCGATCGTCTTCGCAACTTGGCAGCAACGAGAAGCTAATCGCGAATGATGCGACTGCAAAAACGAACCACAATTGCTTTAGGGTCCGAATTGGAATCTCTGCCGGGACCTTGAGGAACCCGCATCGCAGCGACGTTGGAAGGTGAGATGGAGACATCCAAAGATTCACCAATTGAAGATAGAACTTTTACCAGATCCTCCTTGTTCTTCTGAGGAATACCTTGTATTTCGAGGTTGCTGCGCCTGGAATATTGTTCTAATTCTGAAACACGACTAGTTAAATCAAAGACCTCTCTTTTTAGCGTGACATTTTCAGCAGTGATTTTTCCAACAAGCTATGAAGCTTGCCTATAACACCCTCGAACTCCGATACTTTATTGCTGCAAAACTTTTTTTTTAAATCCTAATTATGCTGGAGCTTACGTTTAATTCTTGAGAAATTTTTCTTGTCTTAGTTTCGGGAAATTCCTCAATTAAATTAAGAACTTATTCCTTTAGTACTACAGTTCGTACTTCTCGTGAACGTCCGCAATCGGCTGTGATGGGGTACTGTACGTTAAATTTTTTTCTCCTAACTTTAGAGTGCTGTAACTCGGTGGGGAACGGGTTTTGAAGGAAAAGTTATATGAAAAACCCCATAATTTTTACTGAAAAATCAAAAATATCATCCCTTGAAATCTTCCGCATCAATTTAGAAACCCTTCTTCAAACATGTGGCCTGCTAGCTTTATCGATGTCCCCATTTTTTCCTTTACACAAGTGTCGGAGTGTGAGGTTAGGGGTATCCTTCAGGGTTTGAAGTCTAGTGGGACTAGAGACATATACGGTATTCCAACCAAAGTTATAAAGAATAACATTAGCCTATTTGTGAAGCCTTTAACCAGATTGGTAAACAGCTCGTTGTCTTCTTGTGTATTCCCTGATGTCTTAAAGGTTACGTCTGTTGTACCTATTTTGAAACGCGGCGGTAAAGATAACTGCTCGAATTACCGACCTATTAGTATACTACCGGCACTGTCTAAAATATTTGAACGCGTAATTTACAAGCAAATAATAGCACATGTAGAATTAAATAATATGCTTTTTGAAAACCAATTTGGATTTCGACCTGGTCGGAGCACGATGGATGCAATTATTAAATTTATGAACACCTATTATGATGCATATGAAAAACGGAAATTCTGTGCTGCATTGTTTTTGGATCTGTCACGCCGAACTGCGATATTTTTTCCGATTTGATCAGGACAGTGTTGACTTAATCAGATCATATCTGTCGGGCAGATTCCAACAGGTTAAGTGTAAGAATAAAATGCCTGAGCGACTTCTTGTCACGAGAGGCGTCCCTCAGGGATCAATATTGGGACCCCTCTTGTTTGTACTTTTCTTTAACGATTTTCCTGGGTATTTGGGTGATAATGTAAACTGTTTGTTGTATGCAGATGACGCGACGCTGCTGGTAACGGGTGTTGAGTTTGAGGAAGTGATATCCTCCACCGATCGACTGCAATGCGGTGAGGATCATTGCTAAACTTAACTATACAGATGACTGCCGACACGCTTTCAGACAACTTGATATTTTGACACTACTATCTTTGTTTATACTTAAGTGTCTTCTGTACTGTTACGATAATAAAGACAAATACAGCACTCATGCTGACGTGCATGGTTATGGGACCAGAAACCGTGAAAACATTTACGTTGATTTTTGTCCACTGAGTAGAACGCAAAAACGTCACATATGATATGGTGTCACACAAAAAACGCCCCAAGCTGTAACTATGTCATTTACACTGCAATTTTTATGAGCGAGTTATCAAATGAAATGGTTTGATGAATACTATGATTCATGCTACAAATTAATTTTTTCTAAGGCCATCTTCAATTTTAAGTGATAATTAACTTTTGTTTTTCAAATTGCTCCATATATTTTTCTTCACGTCATTAGATAGAGATTGTTTTTCTGAATCCATTGATGTACAATACTTCCATTTTTAATGTAATTTTAGCAGAGAAAAGACACTTGTATAACAGGTTGTCACACAAGAACGCCGCAAGCTGTAACTCTATCATTTTCCTTCCGATTTTCGTGAGCGAGATGTTAAATGAAATGGTTTGATGAATACTATGCTATATTCATGCTACAAATAAACTTTTTCCAAGGCCATCTTCAATTTCAAACGATTATTAACTTTTGTTTTTCAAATATTTTTCTTCACGTCATTGGATAGAGATTTTTTTTCTGAATCCATTGATGTACAATACATCCGTTTTAAATGTAATTTTAGCAGAGAAAACACACCTGTATATACAGGTTGTCACACAAGAATAGCGCAAGTTGTAACTCTGTCATTTACATTCCGATTTTCATGAGAGACGTGTTCACTTTATTTATTGAGCTACACTTATGCATTTAAAAATAAAGTCATTGCGATAATGTTACTTTTTATTATAATTTGAAACAATAATTTATTAATTTTAAACATTTTCGAAAATTCCACCTCCTACTTCAATACACTTATCTGCACGCCTGTGAACGGCTCGCGTTGCATTTTTTATCTTTGCACGGTGCTCCTTTATTTGCGTTGCAGCGTCAAAAATTCTTTGGATTAAAGCCTCACGTGTGTCTACTTTTTCTTGATATACTAAATCTTTCATCCAATCCCACATGTTATAATCCAGAGGATTGAGATCTGGAGATCTGGCTGGCCAAACGTACGGTCCACCTCGACCGATCCAGCGGTTAGGATAACGTTCATTTAGATGATCGATGACTCTACGGTAAAAATGAGAAGGAGCTCCGTCGTGTTGCAAATACTTTCTTAATCGTCTTGCCAGAGGTACATCCCACAGTAAACGCGGAAGTTTTTCTTCCAAAAATTGCAAGTACCTTTGTCCGGTAAGACGATCTTCAAAAATAAACGGTCCTATAAGTTGATCGTACAACATTCCGCACCACAGATTAATGCTAAATCTGCTTTGAAAATTACTTTCTATGGTAGCATGAGGGTTAATGTCCGATCATTTATGCAAATTATGGATGTTATTTATGCCATCTCGAGTAAATTGTGACTCATCCGTAAATAAAATGTAGCGGTATAAGTTCCGATTATTATTTAACCACTGAGAAAATGCCAAACGCCTAGGCAAGTCTTCTGGCTTCAGATGTTGAACACGCTGTAGATGATACGGATGCAGCAGATTTCTTTTTAATGTTCTCCATACCCTGGTATTGGGAATCCCTAAACGTATGGATATCCGTCACGTGCTAATGGCATTGCGTTCGACAATGTCAAGGATGTTCTCTTCCTCTGCAACATTCTGTTGTGTTGCTCGTTCGTACTGCATATGAACGCTCGGAAGTAAACCAGTTTCTCGGAGAGCTTGGAAGGTACTATTAAAAGTCTTCGGCGATGGAACACGCCGATTTGGAAAACGTCGTTGATATTCAATTGAAACTACAGTAGCGTTTCCATCACAATGTCCCAGTACAAAAACCATATCAGCATACTCAACAGTCGTAAACTTAAACGGCATTGTACGCAAATAAAACTCAAATAATTTTAGATTAAACGGCAAGCTTGTCAAATTTGACAGTAAGGTAAATAAGTACTTTATTTTACTAATGCAGTCATAGCACACTTACCCATTGAGCCCCGCGCTGGGCCGTAACGCCATAATTTTTAAATCTTATTTTCAAATTCATATAAGTCAATAAGTGAAGTGAATCGGACATATGTTCATATGAACTTTTTTATTACAAATCACCTAAACAACATGCTCCATTAGTGCCGGGAGAACTTCACGAAACACCTGTATATGACGGGTGTAAGCCCCTGGCATATAACACAATAAAACATTATTATTATTAGAAACGATATAATCATTTGCTGTTTTTTCTTAATAAATTGCAATGTAATTTTTTGTATTTTTTACTTGGAACACAGAAATATACTGATTTTAATTTTCTTGGACCTCTAATCTAACAAGATGGAAAATGGGTTATCAACAGATTTTCCATTTTGTTTACTTAATCTATTGTTTTTCAATTAATATTAATGTAGCAAGAATTTCTTCACCTTGTTTTCTTGTTCCCGAATTTTGATCTTTAAATTCCAAGAATTCAACTTGAGCATTGCCTCTTGTGTTGTTCTGTGGTTACAATTTAACGAAAGTCCCTTTTGAATGGTTTCCCTTTTGATTTTGTTTCAATTCCATTCTTTTAAGCAATTGATATTTGTATTTTTTGTTAAATTTGTTGAAAATTCATTTCAAAAAGCTTATTCAAATCTATTTGGCTGATTCAAATTGCCTATGTTTGAATAAAATACGATTTGTTTTAGATTGCTTATAGAAGAATTAATTTGGAACGTCGAAGAGGTGATTATGAAAAATGTTCGCAATTATACGAACATTATATAACAAATTCGAAAAATAAGGTGATCTCAACGAATTTAGCGATAAAATATGCTCGATTCGCTTTAAAAATTTTAAATAATCTCGACAAAGCTTTCGAAGTAATCAATATGGCTTTAAGTAAAGATCCGAATAATTCCCGGTTGTATTTACAATTGATTGATTTGACAATGCATAAAAACACAAGTGGTTTAGAAACAGAAATTTTGGGATATTTAGACACGTTTTTAGAGAAAGAATCTGTTGAAATTGATCAAAAAGTTCTATTTGCTCAACGAAAATTAGAATTTTTAGAGGATTTTGGTTCCGATATTCTATCTGTACAATCGGCTTACGATGAATATCAGAAATGCGTGAAATTGAGTAAAGAAAATAAGAAAAAGGATGGAAAAGATTCCGTAAAAAAGGATAAAATGGCGACGACATCCGAGCAGCAAGCATCTAATTCATATGGAAGCTATGGAAATTATAGTAATTCGTCAGGAAATGCAAGTGCTTATCAACAATATGCAGGTTCTCAGCAAGGTCAATACAATTACACACAATATGGACAAGGAGATCAATATCAATATGGAAGTTGGCAGTATCCACAGGGAAGTTACAGTGGATATAATCAATGGAGCGGTTATGGAAGTGGTTATGGATATTAAGATTTTTAAAACATTGGAGAAAAAAAAAGGAACAATATTCGCTATTTTTCTTTTGGTACAAATCATTCAAAAATCTTAGTTTTTTAGTGAGATGTAATATTAATACTATGTATCGTATCGATTGTATTTTATTTTGTGTTTCAATTAAATTGATTGACAATGAGAAACAACTTTAAATAAAAAATTTATGGTTTTTATTTACACAAAAATTAAACAATTTATTAAAGATAAAAATTAAGTAATTTTGCTTTGGTGATTTAATTACCATATAAAAATCACTATCCATCTATTAATTTCCTTCATTCATTACAACAAAACAAATAAAGAGTGTTAAATAAACAACATCAGAAATATAATTGTTTCATTTATTTGTTTAATATAGTAGGAGTCACAAATTCCTTAGTTTTCTATTATAAATTCTATCATATTTGTTTTCCCCACTTCTTGTATGAATATAATATATAAAATGTATATAATAAATATACATAATAGATAACTCATCTGGCTTATGCACTCTATAATTCTTTTGATCTAAAGATTCTTTGGTTTTAAGTAAACTATTTGAGTTCCCCGAACTAATAAATCTCCTGTCTTTTTATTTTTTACTTCTGCCTCCAAGTGAAAGATTTCGTCACCCCTTTTAATAGTTTTACCTTCTATTATAATTTCATCCCCAACTCTTGCGGCTTTTGTATATCTACAAAGAAGTAAACATAATAAAGGATATTTTAAAAAATACTTTAAATGATACATTAGATTCATTTCTTTGGATAAATGCATCATGTTGTCATCAACTATCGTTCTTAAACTGGCAATACTGATAGCGTCAATTAAAGTTGCTGAAAACCCACCATGTAATCCTCCCATTGGATTTGTGTGTTCTTGGTCAATTTTTACTTCTGCTTTACAATAACCATTTTTGGTGGAAATTACTTTAACCTATAATTTTAACCTATTTAAAGTTATCTTGAGCACAAACTCTCTTAAATATAATACAAGGGATTTAAATAAAGAACATATTTAAATATAAATAAATATACATGTTGTTGAATATTAATTTTAGAAATTTACCTTGTCCAGAATTTTATAAAACCCTTTTCCAGATTTTAATAAACGATTCACCTTTTCTAAAGCAGACATTTTTCCAATGTTACAAAAAACGAAAAAATAATACAATTCTTGTCACAATAAACTAATGACCCAGCAAATCGCTTATTTACTAAATACTAAGTTATAAACGTGTTACGTAATCTATTACAGAAAGGTTAGTATCAATTTCATTTTTTTTAAGTTCAGAAGAGATTTGAATAGATAACAATAGATGTGTATGTGTACTACGGGTACTATATTGAGCAACAACATATGATAATTGTCAAGTCTATAGTTCTGTGCTATAGTCATCTTACGAGCGAAATTATAACTACTTTAGTAAATAAGATCAAAGTCCATAAACCAGGTTGTGCCTGATAAGTATAACAGTTGTGAATTATATGCTGTACCAAGTCATAGAATAACCAAAAAGGCAGCGTTGTCGGTTCGTTCCTTTCATATTGGAGAAATCGCGTTTTTTGACCTTGTAATTCCTCCAACTTAAAGAACGGTATCAAAAGCGCGCATTTAAATGCTTTTAATATACCGGTGTCCCATATCTTCCGGATCAGACCATTATAAGGTTGAAGGATACATTACACTGAAGCGATTTTTCTAGTAATTTTTTTTCGAAATGTTTATAATATAATAACTGCACAGGAACTGTTTAAAGTCGTCCAATAGCTATTCACGGCAAGAGAAATAAACGTGTACGAAAAGAGTTGAGCCGGGGTCTGATTTACAATCTCCTATTGGACGACCACTGGACGACTTTAAACAGTTCCCGTGCGGTTATACAGGTGAGTCAGAAAGAATGGGAAATCCGAATACCGGAGACACTAGACACCAAAATATGAAGATTTAACCTAACATGTCTTATACAAATGTCGGTGGTTTTTAATACACAGGGTGTTGAAAGTTAAATTTTTATTTCGAAATTTCTTGATAATTTTGAAGGTTTTTGTACTATTAACATAAAATTTGGTAGTTAGATATTTTCGGGCATGAGAAATACGAATTTGAAACTTGTTTTGTTATTGCTCGTAGAGGGCGCTAGATACACGCTGCTCGTTTGATAAATCAAATCATAAGTTTTTTGGCTCGACAGCTACGCCCAATAAGAGTTACAAATCACAAAGAGCATTCAATTTTACATAAAAAAGGTACTTTTATTGAAATTGTCTAAGTCTATCGGTTTTCGAATTATTTACTTTTAAATGTTTAAATGTATTTTTTCTTCTAAAAGTTTTATTTTTTAACATAAGCAAAGTTGGGTTATTTTTCCGCTTATGTTTCGACAATTGCCTGTTAATTGTCAACATTGATTTAATTTCCGTGTGCAATCATCATTTTTAGCAACAATAAAATTATTACCAATTTGAAAATGCCACGACATAATGAGTTTTTTAATAGTGAGAAATCCAGATTTAAGTCCACTGGATTTTTGAAGATGGTCACAATATTCTATTGTTATTAATTAATTGTTATTGTTATCGATTATTATCGTTACTAATTGCTATAGTTACTGTGTGTTATTGATTTTAAATGTTAACCTTAAAATTACTTTGAAACAATTAAAAGCAGATAACTTGGAAACCAGTAGAGTTAGACAATGTAAGCAAGAGTATCTTTTTTGTGCAGAATTGAAAACTCCTTCAGATTTCTGGTTCTAATTCACAATACCTCAACTGACAAAATAGTCATGACTTGATATCTCAAACGTACAGTGTGTATCTAGCGCCCTCTACGAGTAATCACAAAACAAATATGAAATTCGTATTTCTCATGCTCGAAAACATCTAACAACAAAATTTAAGGTAAAAAGAAAAAAAACCTCCAAATTATCAAGAAATTTCTAAATAAAAATTTAACTTTCAACACCCTGTGTATTAAAAACCACCGACATTTGTATAAGACATGTTAGGTTAAATCGTCATATTTTGGTGTCTAGTGTCTCCGATATTCGGATTTCCCATTCTTTCTGACTCACCCTGTATAAACATTTCGAAAAAAATTTATTAGAATAATCGCTTTAGAATAATGTATCCTTCAACCGTCTCGCAATCCGGAAATGATCCGGAATACATATATGGGACACCTTTATAATCAAAAGAATATTAAATATTTATTTAAAATAAAAATATTCATGTAGGTGTTTTAAGAGAAAAAATAAGATACCGTCTTTTTCTGAAAATAAGACATCCTCCGAAAATAAGCCGTATCGTGATTTTCAGAACTTTTTGTAAAATAAGACATCCTCCGAATTTTTCTTCTAAAACACACGATATATTGAATGTGCTTTAAAGTACAAAATAATGGAATTTCCCCGAGCGATAAGTAAAAACCCTAACAGAGAGGCACAATGCACTTGTACGCATCATCGAAGGTCCACGCTGTTCACACTACGGAACAGAGTATACGGCGTTCAACGTAAATAATTTCAGTCTTATAAGTCTGATTATTTCCTCATACGTAATTTTATTTAAAAATAAAGTGAATAATTTTTAACCTCAGTTAAAATGAGTACAAAACGAAAGAGCTATTCCATCGAGTACAAAAAGGGAATCGTGGAAGACTCCAGGGGTGTAAATCTTGTAGCATTCTGTAAAGAGAAGATGCTGGATCTCCGTATGGTTCGTAAATGGCGTGCAGATTACGATTACCTGTGTCAACTGGTGGACCAATGAAATGAGAAAAAACGCAGAGTTGGATCAGGTCGGCAGTCGTTATTTTCTGAGTTGGAAGATTGCATCTGGGAATGGATTGCAGGCAGGAGAGCAATGACTTTGGTTGTGCGCAGGGCTGATACTCAAAAATTTGCCCTTGAAACAGCAATTGAATTTGATATATCCACAGGAGAATTTAAAGCATCGTCACACTGGTTGGACAACTTCTTAAACGATATGAACTGTCTGAGGCTTACAAGAAGTTGTTAATTGGGTAAAAAATTCATGGGACAAAATAACTGATAATGATGTTTCCAATGCACTACGAACAGGCTACTTAGACAAGAAGTATTCATTTAACGATAGCTATATCGCAAGACATGAGAGATTCGGACCAATGATTCAACAGGAAATGGATTTGGAAGAAAATCAGAATATAATTCAGAATTTTATTTATGACGATGTTCCAGAAGAAAATGACATGACTGTAATTGAATAAACTTAAATTTCTGTATTCTGTGTAAAATAAATATTAAATAAAAATATATAAATATACTTTTATTTTTGCCCTCCCCCGAAAATAAGCCCTAGCGCGTATTTTGGACCAAAAAAGAAAGTAAGACAGTGTATTATTTTCGGAAAAAGACGGTAATTTAGATATACACAAGTTTTTAATTATAAATATATTTCTAAATGGAAACAGAAATAATTCTTTATTAGCTACCGACCGTATGCTCATTAGGCCCTGGTCATTCCCTGCGCTTCGCATATTCTCCAGTGTCGTTTGTCTTCTGTCGTTACCATTTTCTGCACTTTTTAGAATATCAGATTTTGGTTAATATTCTTATGCACCTCCTTTCTGCTTTATCAATGATTTCCTTAGTCTTAAGCTCTAAAGCCGGTCTGCATAATGCTTTGTAGATTTTCATTGCCGTGTTGATGTGCGAAGGGATGCACATAGGGGGTGTTTTTATAGGTGAGCTCTTCTGATTACTTCGACCCTTTTGGTTTTGTAATGCTTGGATAATTTTAGGCCATTATACAAAATTATTCCCATCAGGTATTTAACCGATTTTATGCATAAGTTGGCAGTATACACTGTTGGAGATTTTTTACAAATGCGGTGAAACCACGATTTGAAATTTTCCGGGATACTTATTCCCAAGTCTCCAGTTATGTTATTCAATCATTTCAATATTTCGTTGTATAGAGCAGGGGTGGCCAAGCTCTGTGATAGTCCGAGCTATTTTTCAATTTGAAATTTTTCGCGACCCGCAATTAAGTACGTATAATATATTAAAACGGTATGCAAAAAGGTATTACAAAACATTTTTTTACAGAAATTATATCAAATATACTAAAAAAAAGAAAGGTACTCGGGTACATTTATCGAGAGGCACAAATAATCCTTCAAAGAGCCGCACTTTGGCCACCGTTGGTATAGAGTTTGTAAGTTTGCTGTGGCTTTGTCCAATGTCCAGCGTCGTATCGTCTGCATATTGCAAGATATACAGCTCAGGATTGAAATTCTTCGGAATAGAGATGTTTTATGTAACATTTATTCAGCTTACAAATGTTTTACATGTAATAAAAGAAAATATAAAACAGATTAAGCACCGTCAAGAGAAAAAATATAAATACATACAAAACAAAGCAATGTATATAGAGAGAAAAAAAAGTTATATAGTTTACAAAACTAAACATAAGACTCCATCTCCAAAGGTGGTAGTTGATGAAACTCCTCCACATCATAGAAAGCGCCAGCCATCAGGATACGCCGTACAACTTTTTCGAAGCGACAATTAGTCATATTTTTTATTAGCAAAGGACATTTATTATATAATTTCACGGCTAGGTGATTAGTGCTGGTTTGTGAGATATTAATGCGATGGTAGAGAATCTGATAATGTGATTTATAACGGGTTTCATAGATATGAACATCAGAACTTTTTGGAAATGAGGTTTTAGAGGAATGTACGTAAAGATGACTCCTTAGGATAAAGGTAGAGGATAAGGTAAGTATCCTATGTTGTTGAAAAAGTGGTTTGCAACTAGCAGTACTCTTTTCGCCTGCTAAGACCCGTAATGCTTTCTTTTGTTGAATGAAAGTATCTTTGGCCGCCGGAGAATTCCTCCAAATTAATATTCCGTACGACGCCCTACTATGAAAGTTGGCAAAGTAGGTTGCTCTAGCAGCCTCATAACCAGCTATAGCCCGTATGCGCCTGACCGTAAATATTGCTACAGCCAGGCATCTTTGAGGATATTCAACATGAGACTTCCAGCTTAGGTTTGACATAACATATATCCCCAGGAATTTAATACGTTCTTGCTCCCGTCCAGCAATTTTAGTTGTTAATAGTAGTTTTTGCGTCTTTTCCACATTAAGTTTCAAACTGTTTGCCCCAAACCATTCCGCAGCTTCGGCTATAACAACTTCTGACTTGTTTTCAAGTTTAACTCTATCTTTCGACGTTAGCACAAAAGATGTATCGTCAGCATATAAATAAATGTCATCAGCTGAGATGTTAATAGGAAGATCATTTATGTAAATAATAAAGAGCATTGGGCCCAGAATTAATCCTTGTGGGACACCAGATATAATATTAGTAACATCCGAAGCTCGACCTTTCTACTCTACACACTGCACTCTATTGTTAAGATATCTACGAATCATTTGATTTGGTAGACCTCTTATACCATAATGTTCCAGTTTATCCACCAGAACTTCATGTTGGACGCAATCAAAGGCCTTTGACAAGTCACAACACAATAATTGAACATCCTTCTTCTCGTCAAACGCACGTGCTACAGTATCAACCAAGCTAGTTAGAGCTGAAGTGGTAGACTTTTGTCCCCGGTAACCGTGCTGAGCTTCATTAAATAATTTGTTAGTTTCCATATACTCAATAAATCTGCTTTTTAATAGAGATTCGAAGATTTTTGAAAAAACAGGAAGTATAGAAATAGATCTGTAGTTTTTATAATCATCTGGACTATCCGATTTGAAAACAAGAACCACTTTGGCCATTTTAAGTTCATCAGGAAATATGCCGTTTGTAAAGCAACAATTTACCACATTAGTAAAGGGTATAGCTAACACGTCAATAGCATTCTTAACAAGGTAGGTTGAGACGTTGTATATGTCAGGTTTTTTTTTATTCTGTAGGGAAAGGACCGTCTGGAGAATCTCATGTTCAGTAGTAGGCTTTAAGAAGAAGGAGGACTGTCGACTTCCGTTCAACATTCTGCAGACAAGTACACAGGGATTTAGATTAGGACCAGGGATAGTTTCGACTGTATTTACTGCGATGCTGGAGAAATAACTATTGAAATTCTGAGCATCCAAACTGGAAAAGTAATTACTGTTATTTTCTTTCTTTCCTTTTAGCTCCTTGTTTATCAGCTGTCATATAGCCTTTTGTTTATTGGTCGCAGTATTGATGATTTCGACAATATGTTTTTGTTTTTCAGTCATGACCGCCGAATTATATTCTCTTCTAGTATTATTGTAAAGATCATTCACTTGAGCGTTCTTCGTTACTCTATTGATAGTATATAACACATCCAAACGTTTCTTAATTTATATTGCTGGTGTGGAAGCAGCAATGCCATTTCACACCAATGTACATCCTCCAAGAGTGTTCGGAATTTGTAAATATTAGCTGCATTAATTTTTCTTATAGTAATATATTGTTTTTTGTATCTGAAACTAAATCAGATACATCCACCCAGTAAACAAATTTGCGTTTCAGAAATATTTCTGATACATATTATTGAAACATGAAACGTTTCTTCGACATATTTCTGAAACATAGATGAAACGTGTCTGAAACTGCTAATGTCCGACCCTTTTTATGTTTTATTGAGACGTTTCTGCAACATACAGCTGACAATTACGGTACACTACTAAAATGTTTCATTAATGGTTTTGAATTATTTCTGTAATGTTTTGTTTACATTTACATTACATTAATAGTATGTATCATAAACGTTAAATAACCTACATAAAACTAAAACATAAAAGTACAAAACTACATAAAATATACATATATGGAGAAATGGCAACACAAAATTTTTAAATTTGTTTCATATTTGAGATGCGATTCTTGCACTACGTTTTCAGTATTGCGACGAGTAAACGAAAGAAAGAATACTAAAAGAAAATAACAATATTCTTTATTATCTCATCTGCGGTTTCCTTATTTCGCCTATTATAACGTAAATTCGCTTGTCGTAACCAATTGCTTACTACCACTTCATATTCTTTATCAGTTAAATGGAAGCTCTTCCTAACTGCCACTAAAATGTATGTTTAAATTAGAATTCGGTCATGGAAAAAGTTTTAAACTGCTCCTTAACCAACGCGATTTATTCTCTGTAACGGCGATTGTTTCGCATGACCATGTCGCCAGGTCAACACGAAGCCGCGGCAAATGAACATACCCAGACCGACGCGAAAGTATCGCTACACCCACGGTTTTTGTCGTTGTCACCTGACAGTTGAAAAAGTCGGTTTGGGCACGTTTGTGCATGTTCATTTGCCGCCGTGTCGACTTGGCGACAACATTATCAAGCGTAACAATCGCCGTCGCAGCGAATACATCGCGTTGGTTAAGGAATAACTTTATGTCAATATAATATTCTTCGGTTAAATTCAATCACAAGATTTAAGTCACCATTTTAAACAAGAATGTTTTTAGATAAATTTAAAAATAACTAAACCTAGTGGTGATATATAAAAAAACTTATACGAAACTTACCTGCGCCATTCTAAACCAATATTCGAGCCACAGAACAGATATATAGAAAACGATTCGAAGGAACTGAGAACAGAACTGAACAGAACAAAACACACAATAGAACAAGTCGTGACAAGACGCTGATGAGTCACCGCGTCCTAGAACATGCGCATACGTTCACAGGCGCTGATGAAGATATTCAGACATGTTTCAGACACATTTGTAGAGAAATGTTTCAAATGAAATGTTTCTGCTACATATTTTAATGATATTTCATAAATATTCCTACTGAAATGTATTTGATACATATCTTTAGATACGTTTCGTAACAATCGTATCTGTCACGTATATGAAACGTACTTGTAAAATGTTTCATTTAATTCATTGTACGTTAAAATTGAAATGTTTCACAGATGTTTCTTGTTTACTGGGCAGCAGAGTGAATATTTGGGCCAAATGGTCTGATAGATGCGGTTGAGTTGTTTCAGTATTATAATCCGTTATGAGAGAATTAATAAAAAATTGATCAATACATCTACTTGTTAATTCCGTAATTCTAGTGGGTTCTGTGAAAACATAACTTAAATCAAACGAAAGCATATCAGTACATATTGCTCGTTTTCCAGAACAGTCAGAAATAAAATCGACATTCCAATCCCCAGATACCACTATACGGTGTTGTCCATAACTGGTAATAATGTACGTTAGGACATCATAGAGTACCTTACGAAATTCGTTTAACCTCCCCTGGGGCTGACCAGGGGTGGTTGAAACGTTCCTCTGTTCCAACCGTTATACAATATTATATATAAGGTATACTACTCTGAACCTATGCCTATATGTAATACTAGTTTGAGTACAGTAGGCTGTTACCGATAAAACCTGGGCTTCATAGTGTTATTTTTTCGTCTCAATTAAACAAATATATCGGTTCAACTCCGATTTTCTTTCCAATGAAAATAAAACTTTTTTTTCTGTTCACCCTTTAATAAATTTCAAACTTTGTTTATAATGAATCTATCTCCTACGATAATTTAGAAAATTTTATGATTTTATCTTTTTTCTATTTTGGTAATAAGTATATTATACGAATTTTTACTAAAATAAAAATTTAAAAACTTCGGCTATAAGATAATAATGTAAAGAGACCATATGTAAAAGAAAAAATAAGATCGAGCTGAGCTAACGTACGTCTTTCGTGTTTTATTTTTATTAAATCGTTTATGTTTGAAGCGAAATAAAACGATATTGTATAACAAAAGTGCAGTTAAATTCAGTTAAAAAAATAAGTAAAAAACCAAGTTCGATTTGGATGTTTTTCACCGTGATAAATAAACAAAATTCTGAAGCGTCATGCGACAAATTTGTTTTTCTAAAAATTAAATAAAGCCCTTTTTTTAATTCTTATAGTATTATTAAATTAAACTAAATTTATTTGCTTAATTAATAATTATTAGTGGATAACAAACTGAACGGTTAGTATAAGAAGTGGGTCAGTAAAATAAAGGTATAATTTAACTTTACTATAAATGAGTTGTTGTGGTACCACCCATTTAATAGACGTTTAAGATTATTGTATAGTCAACCAATAATTATAATATTATCAGTTAACCTAAATTGTATTAGGGTAAACGCACCAGTGTTTGACCTGTTAAGGATTTTTTAATGTCAGTGTTTGACCGAGCCATATTATTTTTCTTGTAGATCCCTCTGCCTTTACTTAAAATTATCAAAATATGATCAAATACACATCTGATTCATATAAACCTACTTACCCTACATATAAGTAGTATAGATTCGCCGATTCTAGAACCTCCTCCTCGAACCTGCGTTCTAGGAGGAGGTTCTTGAATCGGCAAATTTTTTGGGGGTCAGAGGAGGTTCGATGAGGAGAGGAGGTTCTTGAATCGGCGATTCTTTTAGGGGTCGGAGGAGATTCGATGAGGAGAGGAGGAGGTCAATTAACTTGAGAAGGTCATGTTATTTTAACGAAATTATTAAAAATTTATCTTTATTTATTTAGGTCATGTTGTTTTGAGAAAGTTATTAAAAATTTATCTTCATATGTAACCTGTTTACCTAGATGAAAACAATTACTATGTTTATCCTTCGACGTTTCTCAATGAACTGTTAGAACATGTCTTCGATATATCTTTTAACTTATTATACACAAAAAGGTATACGGTTTTGAGACATGTAGGTATACAAATAAGTGAGTCATGTCCTACCTGCGGGATATTTTTTTTATTTTATTATGTAAAGGTATACGGGGCTTTAAAATATGCGAGGAGGTTCTTAAATCGGCAAATTTTTTGGGGGATACGTTCGAGGAGGAGGTCAATTAGCTTGATACTAGTAAGTGAGTCATGATCTACCTGCGAGATATATTTTTTTAAATTTATTATGCAAAGGTATACGGAGTTTAAAAATAGTATACATGTATACAAACGCACTCGATGCATCCTCCTCCTCCCAATAAGTTTCAGGAGCGGTGAGGGTTTATAAACGCCGGCGAAATGTGGTATTGACGTAGTTCTTTCATAAGAAGTAGAAGTGTACAACATTAAATTGTAAAATGGTCGTGTGTAAGGATTGTGGAAACAGTTTTACTCGAGTTGACAATTTAAAAAAGCATCAACGATTATCTTGTATTGGCAAGAGAATCAAGCTTGACGCACCGCAAATTCCAAAAGCAGTAAAATGTGAGGCTTGCGATGATTATGTAAATAGACAATGTTACTCTGCACATTTACGAAGCAACGCACATAAGCGTAACGCTTTTGTTATAATCGATGATGGAGTGGAGAGAATAGCTGGAGCACTCGGCGATAAAATCGTCAGTTATCGAATAAGTGAAGAAGGTTTTTTTGTGGATTTGGATGAATTTTCACATAGAATTCGAGACAAAATACTAAATCTGATACAAAGCGCAATCGATATTCACCGAAATGTAAAATTAAATATGGAATGTTTTGGTTTGTATTTTTTACAATCAAAGAAAGACTGTGAAATAAAATCATTCAATACGAAAAATAAGGTAGTATCATTAGCGTCGGATCTGTATAAAATATATAAGGAATTTATTGATGAAATTTCATCAAAAATGTCAGAATTCCAGGAACGAGATTCAGGTAAGCGTAATGAGACATAACATACTTATGCATTAAACAATAAATGTTTCAATCTTTTATTTAGGATGGACTTTAATGCAAATCCTCTATATGGTGTTAAATTTAAACAAATATAATCCTATAAAAGCATCTAATTACACCGATTTACCGTCGCAAATAAAAGCAAAGCATGCTGTGATAAATATACAAAACGCGGATGATGCATGTTTTGCAGGGGCTGTAACATCCGCACTACATGAACCGAACGGTTTACCACAGAGGACATCTTCGTATCCGAATTACCTGGACTACGGCTTAGACTATTCAAATACAGTAATACCCCGTAGTTACGCGATAGGTGGGACTGACAGTAGCCGCGTAAATCGAAAATCGTGTAAGTCGAAATTCGATGAATACATATTATAAAATCAAGGATTAATAAACATTAATTTTGTTAAAAAAATGTATGTACAGGGTGGTTCAAATTCGATGTCCGAATGGGCTATCTCGGAAACTGTAAGAGTTAGAAAAAAGCAGCTAACATGTCTAGATCTCCTTTTTTAAATAAATTCCAATTTCGAAAACCTAAAAGCGCTACCGTTAAAAAAACCGCGTAAGTATGGGGACGCGTAAGACGGGGTCGCGTAAGTCGAGGTTTTACTGTATTGTTTTTCCAGTTAAATTACGTGATATACCTGTATTTGAAAAGCAGAACAAACTATCTATTAATGTATATGGAATAAATGAGTATTTTAAAGACGGTGTTATGAATTATGACATAATTACAATGTATATATGTGGACAAAAAGAAGAAAGACATATAAATTTATTATTGGTTACAAATGATTCCGGGAATAGTCACTATTGTTGGATAAAAAATCTGTCTCGATTACTATCATCGCAAGCATCGCAGAATGGTCACGAAAAGTATATTTGCGATGGATGCTTGGTGTTCTTTACGTCAGAAAATAAACTTATCCGTCATCAAAGTGACGATTGCAGCAAGGTAAGGGCAATTTTACCAACAACAAATTTGAAAATAAATAAATATGGAAATGAAGAAAAGGAAAATATATTACAGTTCGAAAATTTTGAAGCATTACAGAAACCGATCGTTGATGCGGAAGCAACAGAATTTAACGATGATAATTCATAGTCAAATCCGTCAAATGTTTCAAACAGGAACCTTATGCATTTGCATATTATATAAAATATTCTTATGACGAATTATTGTCGAAGTTTGAAATATATCGCGGACGTAATGCTGCTCAAATTTTCATGAGCAAGTTGGAACATGACGTTATGAATATATATAAAAATTATTTAAGCCAATCAAAAGAAATGCTCCCATTACCACCTGTAGATAGATAAATACATGAGATGCAGGATATCTGTCACATTTGTTCGCACAAAATAAAAGAAGGTAATAAAGTATGCGATCATGAGTAGTATAGCTATGGGCGTTCTGGACCAAAATCCCATAAGATTTAACATTGGGGTCGAAAAGTACTTTTTATCCCCACCACTACCTCCTTTCGAGGGTGTAGCCACGCCCACATTTTAAATTCAACCAATCAGAGCGCAGCATTCTCCAAGAACCCTCTTTTTGGCGGGAAATTTGAATGAGGATCGACAGGCCTTATGATGATGACGTCATCATCGAGGCCGGACACAAAGCGTTTGGTTTGGCTTACCGGCTGAGTGCTATGGTGCGGGGTGCGGGCGGGCAGGGCAGGGTGGTTCAATCAGAGCATAGCATTCTCCGAGAACCCTCTTTTAGGCTGGGGATTGAATGAGGCTACCGCCTTATCACGATGACGTCATCGTCGATATATCGAGGCCTTGACACATCCGGACACGAAGCGTTTGGCTTGGAGGTTATAAAATGGTAAATATCTCGTTAACGATGCTTCAAATCGAAAAATAAACCAAAAAATTCCCCCCTACAACCCCCTGTCGCCTATAACAAATACGAACAATATGGCACGGGTGAAAACTGCCAAAAGGGCCTTATTTAGTTATCGAGCT